ACCCAGCATTCTGAACAACTATTCTGCCTGCTCAATATTTATCCATACATGACCAAGGCCGTTTCTTCTTTCACCAATCCTTATCAATAACAAAAACCATTCTTCAATTGGTCTCTTCTTATCTTAGAGACCAGTTTACCATTCTTGAATCCACGGTACATGTCCACGAAGGCCGTCTTAATTTTGCAAAATTAAACTGTGATTTCTTATCCAATGTCCTCCAAGTTATAGGAAACCACAACACCGTGACTAGTTATCAAGCTTATAATTTGCAAACCTTGCTTAGTGCCATTTTAACCAATCGACAAACATGCTTGGATGGTTTTCATGAGGTAACTCCCTATCCTAGAATTATCAGTGCCTTATCGAGCCATCTTTCTGATGGGATCAAACTTTAAAGCATATCTCTAGCCATTTTCACCCACGGTTGGGTTAAAGGAAGTTCAACATTAATAGTGAGAAATATAGTTGAAAAGAATAACTTGAAAAAAGGTATTCTAATATATTATAAAATTGTAAATAATCTGTACAAATGGTTCTCTATTTATAGAGAATACTTGACCTAATTTTAACCTAATGGGCTTGGCCCAATATAACAAATAAATGACTAAATAATAACTAAATAATTATTATTTACAACACTCCCCCTCAAGCTGAGGAATAGATATTTATCATTCCCAGCTTGCTAGTAAGTTCTTGAAATCTGTCTGAAGGAAGCCCTTTTGTTAATAGATCAGCTAATTGACGCCCAGTGGGAATGTATGGAGTGGTAATCAACTCGCTATCAAGTTTCTCTTTGATGAAATGGCGGTCAACCTCAATATGTTTAGTCCGATCATGTTGAACTGGATTATGAGCTATACAAATAGCGGACTTATTATCACATAACAGCTTCATAGGTCCCTCACATTTTATTTTGAGATCATCAAGTACAATTTTCAGCCACAGTAACTCACAAATGCCTCGAGCCATAGCTCGAAATACAGCTTCTGCACTTGATCTGGCAACCACATCTTGTTTCTTACTTCTCCATGTCACCAAGTTACCGCAAAGAAACATGCAATAACCAGTGGTAGAACGACGGTCAATCACGGATCCAGCATAATCAGCATCCGAGTAGACTTCTAAAGATAGATTGCCATCACGTCGGAATAACAATCCTTTACCAGGAGTACCTTTAAGATACTGAAGAATTCTCTCTACTGCCTGCATGTGTTTTTCTTTTGGATCGTGCATAAACTGACTAACAACACTAACAGCATAAGCTAGGTCTAATCTAGTATGGGCCAGATATATCAATTTCCCAACTAGCCGTTGATATTGTCCTTTATCAACTGGAGGACTCTCTTCTTCATAGCCCATCTTGTGATTCTGCTCAATAGGAGTATTAGAGGGTTTACACCCGAGCTTTCCTGCTTCTTTGAGAAGATCAAGTACATATTTCCTCTGGCTGATAAAAATTCCTTTGCTTGAATGAGCTACTTCTATCCCTAGGAAATATCTCAATTTTCCAAGGTCTTTGATTTCAAACTCAGAGGCAAGTCGTGTTTGCAGAATCTGTCTCTCCATAAAATCATCACCTGTGATAATAATATCATCAACATATACAAGGAGCACAGTAAGCTTCCCATTTTGGGAGTGCTTGAAGAAAATAGTGTGATCTCCTTGGCTCTGTCTGTATCCTAAGGTCATCATAACCTCAGTAAATCTTCCAAACCAAGCATGAGGTGACTGCTTCAATCCATACAAGGCCTTTTTTAATCTACAAACTTTATTTTCCCCCTTCACAGAATCAAAACCGGGCGGGATTTCCATGTAGACTTCTTCTTCTAACTCACCATTGAGGAAAGCATTTTTCACATCAAATTGATTTATATCCCAATTGTAATGGGCAGCAAGGGATAACAAGATTCTCACTGTATTCATCTTTGCAACTGGAGCAAAGGTTTCTTCATAATCAATGCCATAGGTTTGAGTGTAACCTTTGGCCACTAATCGAGCCTTATATCTCTCAAGAGTGCCATCAGAATTATATTTCAGGGCATAAACCCATCTGCACCCTACTGCTTTCTTTCCGTTGAGTCTATCAATAACCTCCCATGTTTTATTTTTCTCCAAAGCATTCATCTCCTCTTGCATGGCTTGAGCCCAATTCCTATCTTTCAAGGCTTCATGTACTGATTTTGGGATTGCAATAGAATCTAGTGCTGAAACAAAGCTTTTGTGCTGTACAGAAAGATTAGCATAGGAAACAAAGTGGGAGATAGGGTATTGAGTACAAGAGGGACAAGAGGAACAAGTTTTCTTGTGACAAGATCTTTTTCTTTTTCTACGAGCAATAGGTAAGTCATCAGAAGTAGAAGCAATGGGTAAGTCATTAGAGATATCAGAAGAAATAGACAAATCATGAGAGGAAATAATATTAGAATCAGAAACAGGAGATTCGGGAGACTCAGAAGAAATAGGAGATTCAAGACTTATCAGTGGTTCAGACGATTGAGGTTGCTGGTGAGACAGTATGGGTTGTATCTCAGGTGTATTTGAAGGTTCTGACACACCAGGAGCAGACACACTAGGAACAGAGAATATTGATCCAGACTCAAAGAAGGAAAGGGACGAGTCTTCTGAAGAACTGTTCTCCCCCTGACGATGAGGACCCAGGAAATAAGATTCTGATTCTTGAAAGGTGACATCCATAGAAACAAAAAATTTCCGACTTGGTGGGTGATAACACTTGTACCCTTTTTTATAAGGGTTATAACCAAGGAAGACACACTTAAGAGCCCTAGGATCCAACTTACTCCGATGTTGTTTATGAACATGGACAAAGGAAACACATCCAAACACTCTTGGTGGAAGGCTCTGCAATATGGGAATAGAAGGAAAGAAGGAAGTCATGGAATGAATAAGACTGATATTGTTAAGGACCCGTGAAGGTAAACGGTTGATCAAAAAAGTTGCAGCTAATACTGCTTCTCCCCAATAAGAACTAGGAACAGATGTCTGGAAAAGTAGTGCTCTAGCAACTTCAAGAAGGTGACGATTTTTCCTTTCAGCAATCCCGTTTTGTTGAGGGGTATCAACACATGTGAGCTCATGAATCATACCTCTGTCTGAAATGAATTGTGACAGGCGTTGATTGACGTACTCAGTACCATTATCAGATCTGAGTCTTTTAAACAAAACCCCAAAAGAAAAAAATATATATTCACTAATTCGGTTTAAAATAAAAGCGAAAGGTAAGAACTAAAATTATTTTTATTTCGCACGCACGCACGATCGACCAGTGGCAACGTGTGTGTGGTTGACCAAAGGCCACCTAGCTCCTCTCCCTTCCACATAATGTGTTGTGTCGCAACGACAATTTAGGAGTGTGAGGTGGAAGCTTATATACCCTCTCACCTCTTATTAGTTGTCCACAATGGGACTTCTTAAAATCCACACACCCCTTTAACTTCCCTCTTTTCTTTTCTTCCTTAACCTACTTCTTATTCATAACCCATAGGATGTATATATACAAATTCCAAGTGAAAGAACATTCAAAATGTGATTAATATAGATCATGTTTGGTGAAAAGTGAAGTGAAATAATAGAGACAAATGAAGGAGATGAGAGAAATGGAATGACACAATGGTTTCCAAAAGATAGAGTAAAGATTCATAAACCCATAATATTACAATCTGGAAAATAAGTTATGCTGAGCAAGACGAAAAGAATGACCTTGCTATAAGCTGACCAAGGATAATTTAATTTAATTTAAAATATAGAGATTGATTACTTGAACATACATGACACTTGATATAATTAATTTGCATAATATCGTGCGTTGAAATTTAGTATCTAGTTAAGCAGATATATTAGTGATACCATATCCACTGCTTCTTCAAGCCTCTTCCGATCTGACTCTTCCTTTCACATTTTTTCTTTCCCTATCTAATATTTTCTCTCCCAACTTTCCCTGCTACAAATCTCATAAACGAAAAAAAAGCCAAAAATGTTTCGGTTAAAAAAAGCAGAAGTCATGAAAATAAAATCAAAAACATATTATTTTCAGAAGCTAAAAATTTTAGCTTATCAAAAAAGTAGAAGTCAAAAGTCAAATATAATTTTTTTTTAAAAATCTAAATAGCCGTAACTTTTCTAGAAAATACTTTTAAAATAAGAAACTCATAAAATAGACTTTTTTGATAAGTCAATACAAACGGGCTCTATATAGTGTTGAGAAATAAGTCATATTATATTATGAGGAAAGTGTATATCATTTTGAAGGATATAAAGTTGTGTCATTTTAAGTGAGAGAAAGAGATAAATCATAAGAGAGAATGAGTGAAAAAAGTTTTAAAAGTGTGAATCTCACCTCTTTGTGAGAGTGAAAGGATATAAGATATGCCATTTAAAACGACACACCATTTTCCTTATATTATTTATCAAACAACTTCTTGCAATTCGGATGTTTAAGTGAATTTTTTAAAACTAGCCTTATAAATTTTTTGTTACGAGAGGATTTTATAGATTGTAATGAATGATACGATTTCACGCGCAAGTAGATTATATTTTTAAAAATTTATTATTTGACTGAATGTTCTTATCAAGTTAATTATATTCTTAGAGTTTTACACCATTCAAAAATTATTTTATATTTCATTTAAATAAAATTTAAGAATTTTTAAAATGTATAAAATTCTAAATTATTCAATCAAATTTTTATTAATGTTTAATTTTTTAAAATTTATGATAAAAAATTAAAATAATTAGTGACTATTACTTAATAATTAAGTAAATAAAAATCATATTTTGTATGAGAATTATTAAGTGAGATAAAAATATAAAATTTTAAAGTAGTATAATAAATCCATCTTTTCAAAAAGATCAATGTACGAGAAAACAAGGAGTGCCTGGTTGGTCATGTGTCAGTGTCACAAGGATGGTGCCACACGGATAATTGAAGGAGTGCCGCTGCAGCAGAGCAAATCTCCAAGTACTTGATTTTCGACAAGATTAGAAAAGTGGGAAAATCCCATCGCAATTGCAATCCCTCGTATTTTCTCGGAAAATCTCAGTACTTTTCTTAGCAGCCAAACAGTCTCTCTTGCCTCTTCAATTGAGACCTACTCATCGCGATTCCATTATCTGAATCTGCAAGAGTCGTGAAGATATGTCAACCTCAAGCCAGCACCAGTTCCGATACACTCAAACCCCGTCAAAGGTGCTGCACCTTCGCAACCTTCCATGGGAGTGCGCGGAAGAGGAGCTCATAGAGCTGTGCAAACCCTTCGGTAAGATCGTCAACACCAAGTGCAATGTCGGCGCCAATCGCAACCAGGCTTTTGTTGAATTTGTAACTTCCTTCTCTCTCATAAATATATATATTTTTTATTCCGATTGTTTTTAATCCTTCTTTATTCTGGCTTAGAAAGATATTAGGGTTTTTAACCATGTATTTGCTGATTGAGAGGAATTGAGCTGTATATTATCATACTCAGACGAGAGAATTAGCATCAAACTCTTTAGGCTTTTAGAATCTTGAAAGGTTGTTCGTTATCATGTTCCGCCGTTGGACTTAGGTCATCAAAATTAGGCCTTTTATGGGGTAAAGATGTTGGCGTGTTATCAATTTTATGCTTTTCAACAGTTTTCCTCTACAAAATAAAAAAATGCGTCAATTATGTTATATTTGAGCTTCTGTATTTAAAAAATAAGCAAACAACCTCCAATAACCTGAAATGTTTTTGTATGATATATAACCAATCATTAGGAATATATATGCAGCTCGCAGCCACATCAATGTAATAATAAAGTTTTAGCTAAAAGATATATCAAATAAAAAGTTATTCACCACTGTACTAACAAAGTATAAAAGTATATATCAATTTTAGCTTATGTCCCCTCTATTAGTATTTTGAAGGACTGCCTAGTGTCTGAGGATTTGTTTTCTTATATTTGATGATACCTGGTCCTTTTTCTGATTTTCCAACTCAAATTTCTGAACTCTCAAGTATACATGCTTTACCAGGCGGATCTAAATCAAGCCATTTCAATGGTTTCATATTATGCTTCATCTTCAGAACCTGCTCAGGTTCGTGGCAAAACTGTTTACATTCAGTATTCTAATAGACATGAAATTGTCAACAACAAAAGCCCTGGAGATATTCCTGGAAATGTCTTGCTGGTAACTATTGAAGGCGTGGAAGCTGGGGATGTGAGTATTGATGTTATCCACTTGGTAAGTGTTACTGATTTGATTTAGTTGATCTGGTTCTCTTCTTTGTGTGTGATTTTTTTATTAATATGTTTAGTCTACTTTGTCTTTGCCTCCTTAAAAGTTGTATACCTCTGTCCCTGGAAGGAGTGGTAATTAGCCTCTTTAAAGATAAACAAATGGCATTACTATTAGTTGAAAGACCCATAGTTAATTTTGGAGGCCTGATACGAAGTTAAAAACAGGGATTCCATTCTCATTACTTTTAGGAAAAAGGTATGTCCACCTGGATCATTGCAGGGCGTTTCACTGCATCGTGGCTGTTTTAGTCGTGAAAATATTGTTTCAGATTGAATCCTGCTTTATATTTTTGTTTCATCTGATGTTTTCCTGGGAAGCATTGTAGTCATTCAAACCTTTCATTCTCGTTACATCTTTTTATTTTCCTTGCTGGGAGGGTTGAGGGCTCTTTAATGAGTGATTGGTCAGGAATCTGGGTTTTAATACTTTTTATTCTTATACAGTTCCATATTAATTTTTTATTTAATCATGTGATCTTTCTACCTTCTTCCCTTTTATTTTAGTATTAGAAAGAATCCTGATCAAATTATGTGCCATTTTTTTATTGAAATCGGTTGAATCACAGATGGTGATCTCTCATATTTAAATACTTTTGTTGGAGACAGTTTGGAATAATTATCATGTACGTCATACTCCTTTCTAAGGTCACGCATATAAGTACAGGTGTCATTCTGCACTTATTTCTTATCTGTTTGGAACTTCTTTTCCTTCTTGACATTGCTTTCTGATCTCAACATTTGTGGTGATTCCTGATTGTCTGCTTTCCTATTTTTTTCCAACCTTTTCATTTAAGGAAAAAGCAATATGATTTATTAACTAGTTCTTTATTCTTTATTCAGGTGTTTTCTGCTTTTGGCTTTGTTCACAAAATTGCTACATTTGAAAAGACTGCAGGTTTCCAGGTTAGTGAATTATTGTCAATTGCACTTTCCTTCAATGTGTCCTGACTTGCTGTAGGTATTAACTATGTTTATTGCCATTGCAGGCTCTGATTCAGTTCACTGATGCTGAGACTGCTTCTTCAGCTAGGAATGCACTGGATGGAAGAAGCATACCAAGGCAAGTAGTGCTTTTGTATTTTCCTCTTACTTCTTCGTCACAATCTTTAATTCTGGTCATCGCTTGATAAGTCATAAATTTGCTGATTTGCTTATGCTTTTGTGTTCAGATACCTGCTTCCAGACCATGTTGGCTCTTGTAACTTGCGTATTTCATACTCAGCACATAAAGATCTGAATATCAAATTTCAATCAAATCGCAGCAGGTAATGATGGAAGACAAGACACTATTATATTTTATTCTGCTGTTCTGTTTATTGGTGGTCTTTTTTCTCAGAAACTTGAGCATATTGTGAAAGCTCTTTAATTTTTTGTGGTGTTCTCTTATCTGCTAATTGATATATGCGCTTTTATCATCTAGGGGTTACTGAAGCTTGGTAGTCAGGATACAGTTGAGTTGCCATGGCCACTTAGTAATTTTCTCAATCATTTTCCAGCTGTTTGATACATTTTCTGTCAATTTTGTTGAAATTATTGTTCTTTTGGTATTGAAATGTATTGAACGTGTTATTTTAAATCATATTGGGGATTCAATACTAATTATTTGTAATTGTTCTCAATGTAATTGGTCTCCATCTTTTTCTTTGGAGGCAACTCTGATATTTACGATGCCCAACTGCCTCGTCTAATTATATTTAATACATACTGAAATCTAGCTGTGGAGAAAGCTTCTTGTTTTATCAATTTAGTTCTTAGGTTGAAAAAGAATGGTTTTTTACCTAATGGGTGTAGCTCAGTTGGCAACACTAATAGAGTGGGGAGAGAACCTGGATTCGATTCCCACCAAATACATTTTTGGAGAGGGGTGAGGAGCTTTAATTGTGACTAAGCCCAGACTTGGGATTATTCCTATAGCTTGCTCAAAGAGTTAAAGCTTGTGGGGATGCCAGGGGGATTGACTTGCCTCAAAGAGATAATTATGGTTGGTATACCAAAAAAAAAAAGAAAAAAGAAAAAAGAAAAAGAATGGTTTTTATGCCTTGAGGTTGACTGGCCATTATTGGGTTATAGTTTCTAAAATATTTTTTCCATTTCTTCCCTTGTTCGGAAGCTCCAAGTTTAAAGTCTTGTTTTCTAAAATAGGTTACAATCTAGAAGTCAGGAAGAAGAAATAAGAAGTGAAATATCTATAATTGTGATACACCTCTAATTAAGGTTTACACTGCTAGGGATGAGAATATAGGTGTAAGTATCGAGGGGGATGTTGGGATGGGAAGAGTTAGTTATTCAGAGGTTTCTAGAATAGTCCAGCTAGCATCCTATGAATGGAGGGATAGCATAATTCAGTTACTAGGAGTGTTTAAAACCAAGGATGGCTTGGAGAGAAAGTAGGATTGGATTGGGTGATTATTATGTTCTTAAAATTTTTAGAATTTCCTCATATTTAAGAGATCTTTCATTATTTTTAGAGATTTTATCTTTAATAATTATTAAATTCTTAGGAAAATATCATTTTGTAGAGATTTCCTATTTATTTGATTCAATTAGGATTTCATATTTTAAGATTTCCTATCATGCTAAAATTTCTAAGAAATAATATCGTAATCCCTAAATAACAGAATAATCTTGAATATGCTTCTTCATTCTACATCTGCATCTCTTCTATCACTGTCTTTTGAAAATTAATTAAATTTAACTGGGTTGTCTATTCACTCTTGTGATTTATCTTGCCAGTCAACCATTTTTGTTCAATGCCTCTAGCCTCTAGGAAGATCTTTATATATTTTTAATGCACTCAGTTTTTTAAAGTTTTGATTCAGGCATAACATTGTTTAAATGTTCATATGGCTAAATTTCAATTTTGTAAATATTCTCTTGTGAATGGTTAGTATTAATATTTTTTCCATGACTGTTCAGGGACTACACAAATCCTATGCTTCCTGTTAATCATACTGCTATTGATGGGGCATTACAGGTATTTTATTATTTAGTCTTTGAGTCTTCAATAATTTCTGCTTTTGTATTTTTAGTATGTGCTAACTATTTATGATCTTCAGCCTGCTTTAGGTCCTGATGGGAAGAAGATAGAACCTGAGAGTAATGTGCTTTTGGCTTCCATTGAAAATATGCAGTATGCTGTTACTGTTGACGTCCTCCACACAGTGAGAATTTGTGATTTTTTAGTAAAATTTCCAAATTTGTATGTGATTTATACTCTACATTGCTGGTCTATTTTTGCAGGTGTTCTCGGCATTTGGTACTGTACAGAAAATTGCTATGTTTGAAAAGAATGGTCAAACTCAGGCACTAATTCAATATCCTGGTATTAATTCTATTTGACTGTCAGTTCTTGAGCTAGTAGACTGTGTCCCTTTTTAATATATATATATATATATATATATATATATATATATATATTTCCAAAGTGAATATGCCTATTTTCTTCCTTATCTAACTAGTTTTCTTGTCATTGCTGGTTCTTTATGTACTCAATGATGGGTTTCTTAATTTGGGAATTTTTTTGTAGAGGGTTGTGTGGGTGGGGGGTTTGAGGGTGAGACGTTAGTTCCCACGGCGTACATTGCATCAGTGTGTGTTTGGATTGAATGATTGACAGCTAGGAACCCTTGTTCTGTCTTTCATTGTTTTTAACCATTTCATATTAATTCTATTGTATATTTTGTTCTTTTTCATTAACCAAATGCTTTCCTTCTGCTCCAATGTCGAATGTAAATGATGTTTCTTGCTAATGGATGGAAATTAATTATTGTACTTTTCTATGTTTTGAGAAAAATTTATTTTGGGGCTAATCCTGTCAATGTTATATTAGGGGAATTTCCACACTTAAGTGAAAATGAAACTGGACAATTTTGTAGCATTTTGAGCTTCTATGTCTATTCAGGTGTATGATTTTTGTTATACTATTTGAGGAGGATTTCTTATACTTCCTTGCAGTTTTTTTGTTTCTTTTTAATAATATCTGATTGCTTCATCAATTTTTTTTTTCTCCAGACCATCATGTATTATAATCTTGCAGATTAGGGTACATTTCACGTGACTTATTCAATACAAGCTTAAATTTAGTTGCAGGGGAGGGAACTGGGTAGAAGATTGGCTAGCCTTCCCGTCCCTTGTTTCTGGACAAAGCATTTGTTTTGGTTCTATTGATCACGTGTAAACATTTTTTTTGCAGACATCACAACGGCAGCAGCTGCTAGGGAAGCTTTAGAAGGGCATTGCATATATGATGGTGGCTATTGTAAGCTTCATCTATCATACTCTCGTCATACTGATCTCAATGTAAAGGTATAAAAATATGTGTTTTTGAGTTAATGTTCATGAGGAAAAAAATTGAAAAAGGAGGGAAAATTAAACATATCCTTAGAAGCAATGTGGACACTTTCTTGATTGCAAAGAGATTTGGTTCTTAAATGTATGCTTCTTGACACTTGATTGACCTTTTATAATAATTTGTTTCTGATAATTGAATGATTACTCGAGCCTGATTTTAGTTGTATATGTTATGTTTTGGTTTTAGGCTTTTAGTGACAAAAGTAGAGACTACACAGTGCCAGATCCGAGTATGCTTGCAGCACAGGTTCCTGCAACAGCTTGGCAAAATCCACAGGCCACACCTATGTACCCTGGTAGTGCCCCTGCTTTTCAGACTCAAGTTCCCAGAGGACAAGTGCCTTCATGGGATCCAACCATGCAGGCAGGTAGACCGAGTTATGCATCTCCACCTGGTACTTTTCCTGTTCAAACTGGTGGAGTTCCCCCAATGCATGCCTATGGGCCAGCAGCTCAAAGCAGCCCCATTACTCATAATTCAAATCCTATGGGAATCACCCGGCCTGGATATCCATCCAACGTAAATTTACAGCCCAGTGGTGCTTCGCCTCCGGCACCTGGTTCCTCGCCTCTCATGCAAACCAATCGAGTTGCTCAGGGATTGGTTCAGCCTGGGGCTCTGCCAAATGTGAGACCTGGTGGTGCTTCAGCTCCAGGTCAGCATTATTATGGTTAGAAAGTCATAGTTTTACTTTTACCTGATTGAAAGGAGAATGGTTTTGATGTATGAAAGAATGATAATATGTACTCATTTGCTATTTGGTTGGAAATTTCATCATCATCATTATTATTGTTATTTAAGTTATGAAATTTATTTTTCATACAAAGCTTCGAAATCCTATATTATAAGTCCTTACTCTCTTTATGTTCCTTTACTTTTTTTATTTTGAAAATCTTTTATTTTCATTCAATATTCACTAGTGTAAAATGGAGGGGTTAAACATCTTTCTGAACTCAAGGTTATTCATGAATCCAAATCTTCCACAAATAATAAGGATCAAATACCACGGTAACCATGTGAAATTTTGGACTGAAATGCACTTCCAACTTATGTTGTTCTGTCACTCATAGTTGATGGGGTTATATTGTACTATTGAGCCAGGAATGTTGTTTCCCATAGCTGCTTCTGCTATTAGATCTCTAGCTATCTCTATTTGTGGTTTAATCACCGGTTAGCAAGATTTTTGTTAACTTCTCAAAATTAAAGTGAAATCAATCTTTCAGTAACAACTGATCATAAATTATCTAGTAACAATGGGTTGAGGAATTGAATTTGTTGAAGCACTCAAGTATGCTCGATTATCACCTCACCGTGATTATGAACGAGGAGGGCATAATTATTTTTACGTGGTGTGAAAATGTTGGCCTACCATATATTTTGGTTGGAAAATATAGGAGAAAATAGATGACTAAAACAGAAAGAACCCAATAAAAACAGTTTTCATGGATAATGCTACAACACATCCTTTAATTAGGTTTGAAACTCGTTTGTATAATGTACGAGGTGAAGCTTAAGCTGATAATGTCGAATGAAATTTCGTATAATCAGATACCATTTCAAATATGCATAAAGCTTAAACTTTTAAATAAAATTATTTTCTTAAATTTCGTATTAGATAGTGCACGGGCATATGCATGTCCCTTCACTTGGTCATGTATATAAGGTCACATTGATTCAAGTAGATGGAGCGTAAACCTGGCAACTTTATTCAAGAAAAAAAAAAAAAAACCTTATTTGTGGACGTAAATGGATACTTTTGGTCACTAGCTCTCTCCTCTGCTCTGTGCTTCAATGTTTTGTTAACCTTATTTTCGTGCGGAGCAATTTTCGGTGCATAGGGAGTAGGTATCCCTTTTCCTTAAAGAGAAAAAAAAGGAGGACATGGAAGAAAATAATTACAAAGGTAGGAGCATTATATATATATATATATATATATATATATATATATATATATATATTAAATATTTGGTAAAAGATGTATCCATATATTGAAAATATTTTCATGCTCAGGAAGGTTAGAATGAGCATCAATCAGTTTCTGGTTGCTGCACCCAGCAAAGTACTATCATTTGGTACTGGAAAGGTCTCTAGTGTTTCCAATTATTTGAAAGATAAACTAAAGTTTCTTGAAACTGAACATTCACTGATACACAAAGATATGAACTTTTTAAGACCTTAAAATTAAAATAAATAAATAAAAAATAAGCATCTTTAGTTTCTTTAATATATGCACTTTATTTTTTCTCCCTGCATTCGCTGATTAATTAGGTTTTTGATTATGAAGAAACCAGAAGTACTAATTCTTATTTAGTGTAATGTTTGCATGTGTATTTGCTCGTAGTATCATCAATGAATTTATTAGATGAACGTGGTAGATTGAACATTAAATAAAAAAAAAATGAAGTGAAAAGTTGCAAGAAAAGAATGTAACTTTATATTGCAGTACCTTTTGACTTGCCACACACAACAAAAATGCATGTGATTGCCTATAGAAGAAGCTATGTGAGGTTGTTGTCCACAACCCCATCTTTTTTTATGGGTCACATTCAATTATGATGGTACACAGTACACTGTCTTTGTCTTTAAATAGTTGTTTTCAATGCTTGGGTTAATCCGAATCGCTGAAATCTCTCAAAATAATACCAACTCAGCAACAAAGCAAAACCTTCATTTTTGCAGATTCTCCACGAATTTCTTTTATAAGTACGCGTAGTTTGCAGCCTTATGTGTAGACACTTCTGAAAATAATGCGTTAGATCCAATACTAGTGGAAAATAACTGTTCCAATTGAACTTGTCCTAATGAATTATGTAGGTCAAGTTGTATTTATTTGAGTAACGCTAAGGTGGGGTCTAAAATAAGCTGTCATGTCACACACTTCAAAACGCGCTTACACATAAATGGAAATTTAGCAATTCATTCCCTTTAATTTGGTTATAAATTGTTATAGAACAACTAATACCGCTTTAGATATTTCTACCTTCTAGAAAGGCTTATAAGCTTCACTAAAACAGCTTATGTTTAATAAGTACTTAAAGTTGCAGAAGATTAATGGGTTGTGTTTTCAACATGTAGTATAGAATAATGCTATTTTCGTGATACTTTCATATCAAATAGATGATTTGGGTGGCCTGCATCATTTAATAAACATGTACTGAAGAAAATTTTATGAGAGGGGATGAGAAAAGTTAAATTCACTCTTATTTAGGCAGAATAACATGATAATGAGTCGATATGTAACCAAATTTGAATAAGTTTTCAATTTTTTTTTTCATTTATGAGGAATATAAAAAAAAAAGAGAGGGGAGGAGGGATGAATTTATGCTACATTACTATTTTTTTTGTCTTAATATAATCTCACATAGAGGTTTAATGAAATTGGGTTGTGGGGGAATCACCCCTCATGGTTATTCCCTGGCTCTATCAAAATTAACAAGTTCAGATCCTCGTAATTGAATAGGATTTTTTTTTTTTTTGGAGTACATGACTTAAGAAATATAGATAAGAGTAAAGTTCCTTTCGGATCCCTAACAAAAAATACAGTATCCACTTTCGTCCTTTACAAAAAAAAAAAATCCATATAAGTCATTTTTCAGGATTAAATTGAGTCTTCATTAAATTTTTGAGGGATCACATTTTCAAAGAATTGAAATTGTAGAGGGACTAAAAATTGACTTTTTTTTGTAAGGGACAAAAGTGAAAACCATATTTTTTGTAAGAGACTTTACTCTATGGATAGTTATAATGACCCAAAGTTAGAAGCAAGAGACCATAAGTTCATAACAGCAATGAAAGCACAAGCAAAATTTTACAAGATTCTACTATTGAATATATTTGCTGTAGTTGAATCTTTCCATTTGTGGGACAAGCGAAAGGCATGACAATAATGTATATAATGTAAAATGTATGTGTCTGCGTTAACGGGAACGCTTCTAAGGATCTAAATAAATTACTTTAGATGCGTTTTAAAGTCCTCTCTCTATACAGCTCTAAAGTGCAGATTCACAGAATTCCACATTCTTATTAGGTTCGCTTTTTGTCATGTCACATGACAAAACTATTTTCCTGCACACACAAATTAAGTGTGGGTCCCACGCTTAAAAAAAAAAGTCAAACCAAAATCAGAATACGACGCCGTATCCTCAAGATATGTTGCCGGATCCTTGTTGCTGCAACATGATTGTTATATTTCCCTTATTAGATGCAGTGTCCATTCACAGTTACTCGAATTCCTCGTAAAAGTCTTTATCTTAGTTACCTATAAAGAGACACCGAGCCCCACCCAATATAATCCAATGCCTTTTTTTTTTTGTCCATTTCTGGTGAGCATTGTTTCATTATGGATATTTGAGTCCAACGAAATCGCTGCTATTTGGCAACAAATCAAACTTCTGTATACTCTTGAAATTTTCATTGACAAGACTAAAGCATATGACACATATAGTGCACTCACGGGAACTTATTGGATGGTTTATGGTTACTGTATTTACCCCTGCTGAGGGTACAAAAAAGATGGTCTAAATTGCAATAATATGTAAAATGCAAGCAAACTAAGTTATATATATATATACACAATTATGAACTACCTGCGACTTATTCTAACTCCTTAATGGTCTTGATGTTGGAAGATAAAAGTAAAATGAACAAAAACATATATTGATATTAGCAGAATGTTGTACAATTATAAAGTTTTAAGGCCCGCTAACTGCCTGGGTTTTATTTGATGTGGTAAAATTGGATTTCCTCTCTCTCAATACATTTACTAACTGCCTGGGTTTTTTTTGATGTGGTAAAATTGGATTTCCTCTCTCTCAATACATTTATCAAAATTTGAAGGACTGAAAATTTATGAGAGAACACGTGTTCCCAAAATGCAACATAGAAACGTCAAAAATATGATATAAAGTGGTGGTGTCTGTGTGGTGGGGCTAGATGGCCTTGTCCTCCCATGTGAAACAGTAGATAGATTATATGTATGAGCTAGATCCCACTTCAAATTTAAGAGACTGCATATGATATATCTCTGCCGACGAAATGAACGAATCAAAATGAAGCTTAAATTTTCGTTTGATTATCTAGCATCTTATACGTACATGTAAAATGGGATGACGTTAAGTTAACCGTTGCCCTTGGTAATCAGGCATTTGGGAGTTGGGGACAACGAGATATTTCTATACACGGCATGAGCATGAGCTAGGTACTTATACTTACGACAAAAAAATACCATTAATTTGTTGGGTTAATGTTTATGTGTAATGTGGTGTTTTATGAGCGTAATAACTGAGTAGGTGATTGTGTCTGCAGGTATGAATAAATTTCACATGTTTGTATTTAATAGCTAAGCAACCTTGCATGAATGCCAGCCAAAACATATATCTCTTTGCAGATTTACCCCATTGGTTTATGTACGTCTCTTATCTCTCTCTCTCTCTCTCTCTCTCTCTCTCTCTCTCTCGGGGCAGGTTATACTTACAAACTTTTTTGTTTACAAACTCTTACAAACTACAATATCTTCTCCCGGGAGAACACTCATTACAGAAAATGTTATACTTACAATTTATTTTCGTTTACAACCTTCTACAATCATATCTTAAATTATTTTAAACTATATATTTTTGTCAACCAACAATTATTACTTTCGCAAATCAAACTCATTACTTAATTATTAATTTGTAATAAATGATAATCGTTAATTGGCGAAAATCAAGTTGCACCGACATTGACACTATACGACACGATACGACACACTGATACGTTAATTCTAAAATTTATCATATTTCGACATGCTGGAACACATTTTGATATTAAATAATATTTTTAATATATAATATAATTTATATTTAATATATATAACAATCCATAATAAGTCATATAACCAATCAAATATTCAAATTTCATAACATAAATATAAAAAAAAAAAATTTTTTGTACCTTGTTAATTTTTCATGTCAAATTTCTTATCAGAAAAAATTAATTTATAAATTATTTTTTTATGTTTAGTTAATAAAATAAAATTTAGACTTAACAAAAAAGAGAAAGAAAAAATGCGTCGGATGCGTGTCGAAGGGTTGACCGCGTGTTGAAAAAAGTTGTCTGCGTGTTGAAAAATATGTCGAAACGTGTCGGAACGTTGACCGCGTGTCCCATAATATTGACCGCGTGTCGGAGCGTGTGTTAGTGTCCGACACGTGTCGGACATGCATCTTTTTAAAAATTTGGCGTGTTCGTGCTTCGTTGGCCGTATAAGATTCCTATATATATATATATGCACACACATATATATATATATGGCAAAATAATTTCTGCAGCTGCTGTACCTACAGCAAGCAAGGATCCGCGTCCGGATCCTAGGATACGGCACCAGATCCTGAGTTTTTTTTTTTTTTTAAAGTCGTGGGGTCCACTTTTTTGTGTCAGCTGTAGATAACACTATCTACGGCAGCTGCAAAAATGTTAAGCCCATATATATATATATATATATATATATATATATATATATCAAATACTCTCAATCTTAAACCATTATATTTTTTATATTTAATTATTCTAATTTATTAATTAAAATAATTAAATATAAAAAAGATAATATTTAATTATATCCGTGTAACTTACTCCCTTAATTTTAACTTTTGATCTTATTTATATTTAGGGAAATAATTTTCTTATGTTGTAGGAAAATGCTTATCTTATGTTGTAGAAACAAGATTGTAAGTGGGACCCATAAGTAAGAGGAGAGAGAAAAAAAAAGAAATGGGACCCACCTAGCTTGTGTGTGTGTAGGAAATGTAGTTATCTTATGTAAAAGTAGATAAATATAACCCTTATATTTAATGACTGTATCAACTCGTCATACTTATTACATGAGCAACAAGCCAACAACTATATAAGACCCTTCACAGTCACATACTCAATGCAAAGGGTTGAACATCATATATCAAATCACACTTGAGAAACCTACCTATAATTAATTCTCTCCCCCATGGAAGAAAAAAACACCATTAACCCTAGGACATATCTCTTACAAAGGAACTATTTGTACATACTAGGGTCCTTAAACACATTAATTTGGACTATCCTATAAATCACCAATGCTCTAATTTATAAAATATATGAACACTTAAATACAAGCAGATTAATAATTAAGATTCAGGGTAAGATTTTTTATTTTCACATTTTTTATTTTCACATTTTTTATTTTCACATCATTTTAAGTTTTTCTTGCCCCCGATATAAAATGATGTTGCCCAGGTATATATATATATATATATATATGAGGTGTCAAATTTGACACTGGTGTCAAAGGATCCTGCCTCATATATATATATATATATATATATATATATATATATATATATATATATATAGAGAGAGAAGGGTGTGTGTGGTTACAATCTTGATTGTCAAAAACTAGTTTAAAAATATAACAACGTAGTGTGAAAATATGTTAAAACACAAGTAAAAATGGGTAGAAGTGTAAAAACGGTAGAAATATAAGTCTTATATAAAACTTAATATTTTTTATTTTTTAAAAAAAACCCTATTTTTCATTTTTTAAAACTCAATTTTCTCTTTTTGTGTTTTTAGACTTATATCTTATATAATCATGTGACTTATATAATCAGATGACTTATATTTTTTAAATATGAAGTTATTCATTCTTGAATAATGACTTTATGTGATTTTTCTTTTACACGCATGTATATAATTTTGTATATTAACCTTAAATAATAAAAACTTTCCAATTGCAATACGAATTTTGTCATCTTTAATTGATTACGATATATATGTACTGGCTGAGTGGCTGTGGCCGAATTATATTGTGTTTGCTGCAATGGACGTACACAGTACTATGGAGTATGGAATATGGTCCTGGTCCTGGTCCTTGCGTAAGTTATTTACTGCACCTTGTTAGTGGCCTTTTTCGCATCCAAAGAATAAATGCCACTCACAAGAACGTTATCTTTGTTGTTATCCAATAAATAGTTGCATTCAAATCGTTACCACCACTTCTTCATAGACGCTTTGGGTGACATGTATTACCATGCATCTGGTTATGTGTACATAATTTCTTATGTTGTCTAATAGTATATATTTCAACATCAATCTCATATAAATAATTATTTTTTTCAACGACTGACTCATTACGCCTAATGCCAACCTTTGTTTTGTTTTTTAATCCTGATTTAAGACAGACCATACATTCATGCATAGATACACATGATTATATTTGATGGCTTAAATTCTGTTATAAGGCATAACAAAATTAATCTGATCGTACATGTTCAGTTCCTATATCAGGTGTGTTATATATATTTTAATTAGATTCGTGTATTTACTATCATATATTATGAGAATTTCTTCTAAAAAAGGGTGTCATTTTCCAGAAGAAAGATTTCATTTTTAGGATAGAAAAGGTTTGGTAAAAGAAAAAAAAAGTTTTGTTTTTTAAGGTGTTTTGGAATAAGGTTTTTTTGTTTTTGTTTTCTCCTGACAGGTAGTTAGTTACTTATGTGGACTAATTTTACTGCAGTGGAAGAGCCACACAACTTTTTGTCTTTTTTTTTCTTACAGGCAACTTTGTTAGTATGTAGACAAGTGTAAGGATAACTCAAAGCTTCACAGTGGACTCCAATTTCATTTTAATTGTATGTTTCATATTCCAGTTAAAAAAAAGCATAGTTTTCCACAAAAGCAGAGTCCCTAGATCCCTTTCACCCTCACAATTTTCAGCATTTGCATGGTCCCAACAGCTCATTTGTGTCAGTGTGTCTGTCAGGTTTGATGTTGACTGACTTCTATTTATTCCCTTCCAACTCCCTCTTCATTTCATCAAACTACTCTTTTCAAAGGTTCAATTTCTTTAACTAATTCTCTTCCTTTCTTTCTGATTTTTCTTTCACTTCATAGACTATTAACTGCTCTAGTTGCATCAGAATTATTGTACAATCTACACATTGCTGACTTGTTAATACTCCAATGTTACATTTATGCAGGAAAAAAAATGGCCCTTCTTGGATTTCTTCTTCTGGGGTTTTTCTCTATGGTTTCACATGTAAATGGTTATGTTTATGGGGGTTGGACTAATGCTCATGCCACTTTCTATGGTGGAAGTGATGCTTCTGGGACAATGGGTATGCCTGCACAAATGTAACTCACATTGTGTTTGTCATAGTTGTACTATATATATAGTTTCTTTACTTGCTTAGTAACATCTCATATTGCAGGTGGGGCTTGTGGGTATGGAAACTTGTATAGCCAAGGTTATGGAACTAATACAGCAGCACTAAGCACTGCCATGTTCAACAATGGCTTGAGCTGTGGTGCATGTTTTGAAATCAAATGTGTGAATGACCCACAATGGTGTCTTCCTGGCTCAATTGTAGTCACTGCCACTAATTTTTGCCCACCTGGTGGTTGGTGTGACCCTCCCCAACACCATTTTGATCTTTCTCAACCAATTTTCCAGCACATTTCCCAGTATAAAGCTGGGATTGTACCTGTTATTTACAGAAGGTAAACTCCACATTCTCATTCTTTTTTTACTGTATAACTTTTTTGCCTTGAAGCTAACATTTTTGTTTCCTTTCATGGGTTTTGAATTTTGAAGGGTAAGGTGCAGGAGAAGTGGTGGAATCAGGTTCACTATTAATGGTCATTCTTACTTCAATTTAGTCCTTGTGACTAATGTTGGAGGTGCTGGTGATGTGCATGGTGTGGCAATCAAAGGTTCAAGAACTAGATGGCAAGCCATGTCAAGGAACTGGGGGCAAAACTGGCAGAGTAATTCCTACCTGAATGGACAAAGCCTTTCCTTTATAGTCACCACCAGTAATGGCCATAGGTTGGTCTCATATAATGTTGCCCCATCTAGTTGGTCCTTTGGGCAGACCTACACTGGAAGGCAGTTCAACCACTAACCAACCCTTTAATTGAGCATCTTTTCAGTAATGTGTAGTAATAGTATCTTAAGATTGCAGCTGTATTATTGAGAAGTGTAGATGGGTTAATATTGGGCTAAACAGAAGATGGTTTGGACCCTTTTATATATATATTTTGATTTTATATGTGGCAAGCAAGCATTTGCAGATGATGTGCTGGCTTAATTTATGCTATGCCTCAGCAAATTGTGTACTTGCTCTATTGAGAAAGATCTTTGTGAAAAAAAGATTGTTGAATGTGTCCTTGTACTTTAGTTATTGATGAATGAAAGGAAAAAGGTGATGTTTCAATTGCATAATAAAAAGAGGACGATGGATATTCTCACTATCAAAATTTTTCACTACTAACTTACTACCTATCTAATCACCATTAGATTAACATTTTTTTTTTCTTCAAAAACTTTTTAATATTCTCTCTCTTTATCCAATGTTGATGTGATGGATAGTAAGTTAGTAGTAAAAATTTTTGGTAATTAGAATATCGTTACCCAACAAAAAAAAATGCCTAACTTTACTTGCATTCCTAAAAGTGCGGTTGGCAGAATGAGTGATTGAAGTGGCTGATGCCTGATATTTTTTTCTCGCGGAATTGTTCAGGTCACATTTAATTTAGTAAGTACATTACTAATAAATCAGAGTGTAAATAGGAACAATAACTACTATTGAATGTGGCAAGCATTTGCAGATGATGTGATGGCTTAAATTGATTCATTTCATATTTTCTAAAAACAAATGAATTCATTATTTATATAACTGATATCCTTCATGTGTCTTCAGTTTTTTTGAAAAGATTTATCATGTTAGTGAGTCCTAAACGCTGGATATGAAAAATAGAAAAAATATCGTATGACCTTCTGAAATAGAGTTGGTAAGGTTCAACTTCAATGGATGGAGATAGACAAGACCTTTTGGGTAACTGTTGTAAATAGTAATTATGTAGTCATTTATTAGTAATTATGTAGTCATTTATTGCTGTTGTAAATAGTAATTATGTAGTCATTTATTAGTAATTATGTAGTCATTTATTTGTATTTATTTAGTCCGTTACTTGTATATTGGGCCAAGCCCATTAGGTCAAAATTAGGTCAAGAAGTCTCTATAAATAGTGACCCCTATGTACAGATTCAAATACGATTTAATAATATTTCAAATACCCTTTTATTTCAAGTTGGTATCAGAGCTCTCGATCCTGAGGGCTCTGCTTCCGCGCCTATTGTCTTTAGAACAAGAACCTTTTATTCTTTTAGTCTCTCGCTGCCATCAGCCGCCACCGGATTTTTTCCGGGGACCTCTTGGATCGAGAAGATATCTGTTATACTGGATCTCTGTTACTGTTCATCGTCTCCATTATTCTTCATCACAAGACAGCATCTTTTCATCACGATTGGACCCTTTCCCGGTGGTTTTTCATCCTCTTTCTGGATATGTGCTCCTCTCTTTGATCGGACATCGTTTGGTATTTATTTGTGATTTTTTGGCTTCTTCGAGCTTTTCTTTGACCATTTTCTGTGCAGTATGGCCTCTTCTCAAAGGAGTTCTTTTTCAAAATTTTATGATGGTACCTCTTCTAGACCTAAGAGAGATGATCGATGGTGTTCTTATTGTAAAAGAACAGGTCATATCAAGGATTTATGCTTTCGCCTTTATGGAAAGCAATCTGTCTTAGAAAAGATGGCAAAGTTGCGTGGTCAAGCGCATTTTACTTCCTCTGAAATAACTCCTACACCTAATAAGACCCAACCTGCATTTCGTCCAGATGAGTTGGAACGGCTCCGAACCATTCTTGATTCTATGAGTAAGCCATCTGATACTAGTGCTTTGACTATGACTGGTATGAGCTCCAAAACTTATTCTTTCCTTTCTTCATGTAATGATTTTAAACATTCTTGGGTTGTTGATTCTGGTGCTACTGATCATATGGCTTGTTGTGCTGACTCCTTTACCTCTTATCATCCTACCATTGGAACTCATACAATAGCCGTAGCTGATGGCTTTCATACATCAGTTGCGGGTTCTGGTGACATAAACTTACAGCAGTCCTTACATCTTAAGGATGTTCTTCATGTTCCTAAACTCTCCACGAATCTTCTTTCTATTCATAAAATTACAAAAGATTTGAATTGTACTGTAACCTTCTATCCTACCCATTGTGTTTTTCAGGATCTCGCCACGGGGAAGACGATTGGTAGTGCTAAAGAGCAAGGTGGGCTGTACTATCTGGTGTCACAATCTCCTGCAAATAAAGTAACAAATCACATCTTGATGTCTCATGGTCAATCAACTGCTGATTCTTTGATTTGGCTTCATCATAAGCGCTTAGGTCATCCTCCATTTAGTTTACTTAAATCTTTATTTCCGTCATTGTTTTTGTCTAAATCTGTTGAGTCTTTTCATTGTGATGTTTGTGAATTTGCTAAGCATCATCGTGTGTCTTTTCCTTCTAGTATTACTAAGAATGTTGAACCTTTTGATCTTATTCATTCTGATGTTTGGGGTCCCTCTAAAGTCCCTCATGGTTCTGGAAATAGATGGTTTGTTTCTTTTATTGATGATTGCACTCGTGTAACTTGGGTGTACTTAATGCGTGAAAAGTCTGAGGTACCACAACTGTTCTTTCAATTTTATAAAATGATTGAGACCCAGTTTGGTAAAAAACTCAAGAGACTTAGAACAGATAATGGTACTGAATATGTTAATCATAGCTTTTCCCAATTTATAAGAAATAACGGTATGATTCATGAACTTACTTGTGTTGACACCCCCCAACAGAATGGGGTTGCTGAAAGAAAAAATCGTCACCTTCTTGAAGTGGCTCGTGCATTAATGTTTCAGACACATGTACCCAAATACTATTGGGGAGATGCTATTCTTACTGCAGCATTCTTGATCAACCGTTTACCCACTCGGGTACTTGACCATGTAAGTCCTATTCACTCTATGACTTCTTTTTTCCCTTCTATTCCAACTATGATGAGTCTTCCTCCACGAGTGTTTGGGTGTGTTGCTTTTGTTCATGTTCATAAACATCATCGCAGTAAGTTGGACCCTAGGGCTATTAAATGTGTTTTTCTTGGTTATGTTCCTGATAAGAAGGGCTACAAGTGCTATCACCCTAGTAGTAGGAAATTTTTTGTTTCTATGGATGTTACATTTCAGGAATCTGAGTCCTTTTTCCAAGGTCCTCATCTTCAGGGGGAGAATCCTTCACCAGAAATCTCATCACCTCCCTTCTTTGAGTTTGAATCATCAGTGTCTACTCCTTTACCTATGTCAGTGTATCCTCCACCTGGTCCTGTTCCTCCTGTGTCTGTTTCTCCTTTGGCAGTTCCTCCTGTGTCTAATCCTCTTGTGAGTAATCCTCCTGTGACTGATTCTCCTGTGATTGATGCATCAAGTACACCAGAGATACGAAAGATTATGACACCTGAAAGAAGGAAACAACCCACATTGTCTCAGCAGCAACCTCAATCGTCTGAACCACTGGTAAGTCCTGAATCTCATATTTCTGATCATGATGACTTACCCATTACTACTGATTCTGATGATTTACCCATTGCTCTTAGAAAAGGAAAAAGAACTTGTCCCAAGAAATCTTGTCCCTCCTGTCCCTCTTGTACTCAATACCCTATCTCCCAGTTTGTTTCCTCTGCTAATCTTTCTGTGTAGCACAAAAGCTTTGTTTCAGCACTAGACTCTATTGCAATCCCAAAATCAGTACATGAAGCCTTGAAAGATAGGAATTGGGCTCAAGCCATGCAAGAGGAGATGAATGCATTGGAGAAAAATAAAACATGGGAGGTTATTGATAGACCTACTGGAAAGAAAGCAGTAGGGTGCAGATGGGTTTATGCCCTGAAATATAATTCTGATGGAACTCTTGAGAGATACAAAGCTCGATTAGTTGCCAAAGGTTACTCTCAAACCTATGGCATTGATTATGAAGAAACATTTGCTCCAGTTGCAAAGATGAATACGGTGAGAGTTTTGTTATCCCTTGCTTCCCATTACAATTGGGATATAAACCAATTTGATGTGAAGAATGCTTTCCTCAATGGTGAGTTAGAAGAAGAAGTCTACATGGAAATTCCGCCTGGTTTTGATTCTGTGAAGGGAGAAAATAAAGTTTGTAAATTAAAAAAGGCCTTGTATGGATTGAAGCAGTCACCTCGTGCCTGGTTTGGAAAGTTTACTAAGGTTATGATGACCTTAGGATATAAACAAAGTCAAGGAGATCACACTCTTTTTTTCAAGCACTCCCAAAATGGGAAGCTTACTGTGCTCCTTGTATATGTTGATGATATTATTATCACAGGTGATGATTTTGTGGAGAGACAGATTCTGCAAACACGGCTTGCCTCTGAGTTTGAAGTCAAAGACCTTGGAAAACTGAGATATTTCCTAGGGATAGAAAGTAGCTCATTCGAGCAAAGGAATCTTTATCAGCCAGAGGAAATATGTTCTTGATCTTCTCAAAGAAGCAGGAAAGCTCGGGTGTAAACCCTCTAATACTCCTATTGAGCAGAATCACAAGATGGGCTATGAAGAGGAGAGTCCTCCAGTTGATAAAGGACAATATCAACGGCTAGTTGGGAAATTGATATATTTGGCCCATACTAGACCAGACTTAGCTTATGCTGTTAGTGTTGTCAGTCAGTTTATGCACGATCCAAAGGAGAAACATATGCAGGCAGTAGAGAGAATTCTTCAGTATCTGAAAGGTACTCCTGGTAAAGGGTTGTTATTCCGACGTGATGGCAATCTATCTTTAGAAGTCTACACAGATGCTGATTATGCTGGATCCGTGACTGACCGTCGTTCTACCACTGGTTATTGCATGTTTCTTTGTGGTAACTTGGTGACATGGAGAAGTAAGAAACAAGATGTGGTCGCCAGATCAAGTGCAGAAGCTGAATTTCGAGCTATGGCTCAAGGCATTTGTGAGTTACTGTGGCTGAAAATTGTACTTGATGATCTAAAAATAAAATGTGAGGGACCTATGAAGCTGCTATGTGATAATAAGTCCGCTATTTGTATAGCTCATAATCCAGTTCAACATGATCGGACTAAACATATTGAGGTCGACCGCCATTTCATCAAAGAGAAACTTGATAGCGGGTTGATTACCACTCCATACATTCCCACTGGGCGTCAATTAGTTGATCTATTGACAAAGGGGCTTCCTTCAGATAGATTTCAAGAACTTGCTAGCAAGCTGGGAATGATAAATATCTATTCCTCAGCTTGAGGGGGAGTGTTGTAAATAGTAATTATGTAGTCATTTATTAGTAATTATGTAGTCATTTATTGCTGTTGTAAATAGTAATTATGTAGTCATTTATTAGTAATTATGTAGTCATTTATTTGTATTTATTCAGTCCGTTACTTGTATATTGGGCCAAGCCCATTAGGTCAAAATTAGGTCAAGAAGTCTCTATAAATAGTGACCCCTATGTACAGATTCAAATACGATTTAATAATATTTCAAATACCCTTTTATTTCAAGTGTAACTCAAATTGTATTGATTGTGATATGAAAGGAAAGGAAAAAATAAAAACAAGTGTCTAGTTTTTTTTGGTTTCATTTCTACAATAAGGGCTTCAAATTGGACCAAGAAGGTAAGATTTAGTGGTCCATTGAGAGCTAATGGGTCAGTATGAAGCATTCTGGCCTTTGTAGTAGTTCCATAGGCTGAGTCACACAAGCGTACTTAGTTCCTTGGCCCGATTAATCCTCTTCGGCTTTATGAACTTCTTGGTTTTTGGTTTTTTCATTTTCTTAGCATGTGTTTGGTTTAGGAGAGAATTTTTTTTTTTTAATATTTACCACCAAGTATCTGGATCAACTGACAATAATTTATTTTAATTTAATTAATGGTCTCTAGTTCAAGTCCTATTAGGTAACTGTGTTAAATTTTTTGATAGAAAGAACTTTACCACTCTTGTGATTCTAATCGTCTTGACCAAACTAATTGGATAATCGATGAATCAGTGAAGAAATAAAAAACATAGAAGTGAAAATTAATTTTTAAAAGTACTCTCTCAAGAAACTATAAAAAAGAAAAGAATGATTAAGTTTTTAAAAATAAAATAATCCGAACACACTTGATTAGTAACATTGTATACCTCTTCTGTCGGACTATGATATGAACATTGCTTTAAATAATTCGTAAGCTTTTATGCTATATCTTACCTTTTTATTAGGTCAAGAAACAATGTAATACCTCTTATCAGCTATATTTTACTTTGTCACCAACTTTTTCTTTTACGAGAGAAGAGATTTTTTGCATTAACAAATTAATATTATATTTTATAGCTAAGATATAGTTATAATTTTAAAAATTATTTTTCTTCTTTTTCCTTATAAGGCTATCGGCTGACATGACGAAGAATTTTTTTTTTTTTTTATAATTATATTTTACTGTTAAAACACATTATTAATTGGTTGTTGCAAAAAAATTCTTGTGAGCGAAAAGAAAAATTGGGGACCCATCTTTTATACATTAAAATTAAGGAGTTTGCATTTGTCATTTAACATGACACAACAAATTTTTTTACACACATAATATTTTGTGGGCCCACATTTTTTAAAGAAAAAAGAAAAAAAAAGAAATTACGGTACGCAAAATAAATCTCTATAACATTACACAATTACTTTTCCTACAATATAACTCTTATAAAATCCTAAAATTAAAACAGTTAAGTTGTTATAAAAAAAAAAAAAAAGTAAAACAACCATAACTTATAACGCTTGGTTGCTTGATATTTATACACAGTTACTGTAAAAACCGATGGAATATTATCGTTACCAATGAAGAAGTTATTATTAAGAAAAAGAAAGAAATTAACAATCATTGTATAATCACGGAAGGGCGTTTGTTACAAGATTTTTTTTACTATACCTGAAAAGGTGATAATTTTATTTATTAATGTTTAGTACTAGATTTTTAAAATTTTTCCATAATTTTATTGTGCGTAAATTATTCTGAAAATACCATCTAAAAATATTACTCAGGGGGTGCAATTTTAGTATTATCATGATAAGAAAAAATTTAACATAATTAAATATAGCATCAAGAAAATTAACTCAATATTTTTGAGAATATTTTATCCTATTAAATAACTTTTGGATAACATTATCGAAAAATTTATTTTTTCACTATATTTCTGAAAATCATAATTTTTGAATAATTTTTTTTTATTCTCCGCCAAACGTTCCATAAAGGAGCATACGTGCACGTGTTTTTAAACAAAAAATAGGGATTCACTTTAAAAATATAAAATAAATATTTTATTACCTAACGTGTTGGGCAAAAATGGTGAATTGAAAACGCTCACCTACCCACCAAGGCATCAAAACCATCTAACATCTCAAGACCGCAAGATAATCTACCTACCAAAGCCTCAATTATTGTGGCTAATGAAAAGTGCATCATAAACATAATTCACAAAGAGAGAATTTCATCCAATTTGTTCATGGAAAACCAGCCACCATCATCTGCAACATCAAAGGCTTCTGAAGTAGACACACCCCTTCAATCAATTGGCTTTGAGATTGAAGACTTGTCACCACAAAGGGTAGCTGGCCATCTCACTGTTACTCAAAAGTGCTGCCAGGTCAAAACTCACTTTCATTTTTCTTCCTACACATACTTTCAATCTGGTTTAGTATATATATATATATATATATATATATATATATATATATATATATATATATTTTTAAGAACAAACAAGTAAAATGAATGAACCCTCTTAGAATTGGTTAAATTTATACATGGTGTAGCCATTCAAGGTTTTACATGGAGGGGTATCAGCATTGATGGCAGAGTCTTTGGCAAGCATAGGAGCACATATGGCTAGTGGTTATCAAAGAGTGGCTGGGATTCAACTCAGCATCAACCATTTGAAACGTGCTGAGCTTGGTGACTTGGTCTATGCTGAAGCCACCCCTCTTAACGTTGGCAAAACCATTCAGGTTATTCCCCCATTCCCCTTCTTTCACCTTTTCAACTCCATCCTTATCTTGTATCCTGAACAGATCCAATCAAGGGAGAAAACAAAACTGAAGTGTTATCACATTAATTTTTATTTTATTTTTATAAATTCATACTAAGTTGGGTGGTTTTACATAATTTTCTTCATTAGATATTGTTCACATGTTACTCATAAAAAAAGAGAAGAAAAGTTTCTTGTCTTGGTCAAAGAAAAGATAAAGGCAAGTGAGTGGTGGTAAAGTGGTCCTGAAATGAGGTGAGGGAAAAGAGTAATGCATGACCTCACGTCTCTTCTTGGGTTCGCTTAAGCAAGGATTCGAGTTCGAGATTTTGTGTATGCAGAAAATTTTCGCTGGAAAATTCACCTGCAATGCTAAGTAACTTACTAGGGTCGGACTGAACATAATCTGGACGAAACCCCGATAATCAGTGGAGCTATCAAAAAAAAAAATGAGGTGATGAATTAATTTAAATGACAAAAATAATATAAATATGAAATTATGCATATATGTGTGTTGGTGTGTGTGTAGCACTGTTCAGGAAGAAAGTGCTAAAATTGGGAGTTATTATTTACTATATTTGATTAGACATGTCCATAGCTTTCCACCATGTGTTCTGTTCCTGTTTATCCACTTTAAGTTCATCTTAGTTATGGTCCTCTTGGTCATGTGGTCTTTTTAAACAACCCCTCCAAAATAATAATAATAATTGTTTCAATAAAAGAAATAAACCGCTTTCGGAAGTAAGTTCTACAACTACTTTGTGAAATGTTCACTCAAACAATTTTACCTGACACACACCATCAAAAGAGAACTATTTTTCAATATACATTCTCAAACACAAAATCTCATGCATTTGGATTGGAAAAAGAAAAGTGATTATATAGTTATGTTATTTGATCACAATCATTTATTGATGATGAGATAAGAAAGAGAATATTGAAATAATCTGATAGAAAATAAAAGGTTAAAAATGGTGGCGCAATCTTAAAAGATTGATTAAGATCCAAAATTTCTCCACTTCATAGTAATTTTTAAGCCACATAGCATACATCTTAGTACCCATAAATTATGTTTGTTTAAACTTAGCACAAGCATGTTCGTTCGATCCCCTTGATATGTGTGTTCACCAACCCACTAATCTTGGGAGAAAAGATCAGTAAATTAAGAATTGTCAGGTCCAATAATGAAACAATTTTATCAATTTTTTTTTTTGTACAAATAATGAATCACTACTTGTTGATTAAATTTTTAAGCAGTCATAGACTCAGTGTTTTAAAACTCCGCCCCATTCTTTGGGTTGATCCGGGTCAACTCTGACCCCTTCCCTATGAGGGTTGGGGTCACAAGTTGGACCCTATATGCATATCAACCCCTCCGACCCCAAAACCCTGCCGGGTTTCAGTGACTCCTGGGTCAGAGGGGTCAAAAGAGGTCATTGCATGTTTTTTTTTTTTTTTTTTTTAAAATTTCATTAAACAACATTGTTTTATTAAAAAAATAAATAAAAATACTTGCAAACCTAAATCTAATTGTTCTCTTCTCTCCTAGTGACCTAAATGTTTTCAATCTTCACCTCACTACCGTGAATCTTCTAGAAAATGTAAGAATTTTATCCCTTCAAATGAAATCCTTACGGGTTTTCGATGGAAAACAAAAACTCATTCTTATTTCCTTTAAATTTTCCTTTGTCAGAGACCTTCTCAAAAGAGGCAGAACCAGATCAGTGTAGTGACCCCATTAGAATATGAGTTTTGTACTTTGGTATCTTGATACTTTTAATTAGGTTGTATAATATTGACTTGTGGTTATAATTGGTGAATTATGTTAAGTATATTTTGAATCTTTGATGATTGGTGATTTGTTTTTTAATATTATCATATAAGATATATCTATTTATATTTTTTTAATATATAAAATCGGGTCAGCGTAGTGACCCCTGACTTCAGCCGGGTCGATGACCGGGCCGAGTTTTTAAACACTGCATAAACTACTATTCATATGTCATAAGCAAACTCTGTTAGTTAAACATATTATTAAGAACAAAATAAAATAAAATGTTATGACATAATGTTTTTCTCGAGACCAGGTGTGGGAGGTTAGAATCTGGAAGATTGATCCTTCAAACTCACAAAAGAGATCCCTGATATCATCATCCAGGGTTACTCTAGTATGCAACATGCCTGTCCCAGATAATGCAAAAGATGCTGGCGACAAACTCAGGAAGCATGCAAGGCTGTGAATATTCCTGTTGTTTGATTTACCTTGGCAAAACTTTTGTTGTAATCTGAAATACCATTAGGAAAGGATTGTTGGAGATACACAAAGTAACACCTTCACCATGGTCATAATTTGTAACTTAAATGGAAGGATACAACTCCTTATAATTACAAATGGAAGACGAAAACCTACTTGAGAGCCAACACTACTCCAATGCCAGTAAGTTACATATTATGAACTTGTTTGAAATAAGTTTTCAAAAACAGTTTTTTGATTTTAGAACAAAAAAAATAAAGAAATCTATTTGGCAAAGCCTGTTTTGTAAAAAAAATTTAAAAAATTGTAACTCTTTTTTTGTTATCAAATTTAGAAAACAAATCTAGATTGTTTTTGTTTTAGGTTTTGATTTTTAACTTTTAAAACAAAAAGCATAGAAAACAACTACTTCTAAAACTATTCTAAAAAACAGTTTAAGAAAAAAAAAAAAAACCAGAACCGGCCTATGTCTCTATTTTATTTTTCTTGTACATGACCTATGTTCCATGGTAGACAGCTTTGAACCAGCACAACAGTAAAAATAACATGAGGACATCATCTCTATGAATTATTTGTATACATTCTAGCATACTCACAATCTCTACGTGTCAGTCAATATATATATTAATTTTTTTTTTTGAGTGTTTGGAGTGAATTATAAATGTCTTTAATGTTTATAATGTTTATACAGTGAATGTAGATAATAACATTCGCTACCAAAACGATGTAGTTTTGGGTTGAAAAATTAAAAAATTATAATAAAAAACTATTATAACTCTGAAATAAATTATAATTACAAAAATACTTTGATTTCCTCCTCAAAATGACATCATTTTGGTCTCAATATAAATAAATTATCTACATTAACCGTAAAAAAAACGGACCCATCATAAATATATGAGATTTTTTTTTTGGAAGATTATTAAGGGGCTATGCCCCGACACAAAACGAAAGACAATCAGGAAATAAAACAGCCCGGAGATCTGCTATGATGGTTGGAACTGATTACCCATTATTAATTTCCTTTTTTCTTAAAATTTGACAAGACCAAAACACAATAAAGGACATTTATCTACAAAAATGTTATTCGAACATATTATATTGTTTTTGTTATATTATAATTAACAAATAGATTACATATTGCACAAGACTCTTAAATTAAAAAAAAGAAAACACTTAAAAAAAAATAGAATGAAGCGTATGATTTTATGTAAAATGCAACATGATTAGAGGTGGCAAAGTGGGCGGCCCGTCACATTCCGTCGTCAACTCGCCTGACTTCGTTTTTGAAAGTGGGCTAAAAAACTCGGCCTCCTCTGGCCCATTTGGCGGGCTGACGGGCCATTTTACATTGGCCGCCTTGGCCTGCCTATGCTCACCATCAACCCGCCAAAAAACTAATTCTCCCTGCTCCGCTTTTGAGATGGTTGAAAAACTCATTCCGCCTTGTCTCGTTTGGCGGGTAGGGTGGATTGGCCAGCAGAGTCGAACCCCTTTTTCTGACCCTAAACATGACGCATATTTGTGACTAGTTTTTACTAAAATTGGTCCGTGCCCCACCTGTAATTTTTTACCCTTATAACTCTATAAAATAACTTTTTGTAATACAAAAATTAATAAGTATGAGAAATTAAATTCTAATTTTTAATTATCTAATCACTTAGGCGTAGATATTGAAGGTACGTAATCCTCTTCCCTATCGACACAACGAAAGATATATAAATTGGGTCTCTACACAAATATTGGATTTCAAATAAGCATTAAGACTAAGAGTGTCTTTTTCAATCTAATAAATGAGAAAAATTCCGGCTTAAACACGAACTACATTGCCAATTTGTTAGGCCATGGCATGATTCCACACTAATTTTTTTTTGAATTTGAACCGCATCAACACTGTCGAATCTAAAAGCGGTAGAATGGAAGGAAATGGCTCTACAACAGAAGATCAGTACAACAAATAAATGAATAAGGGTAGATTTTGATCCGGATAAAATATAGGCCCATTAGAGGCCCAATGACGTATGGAGAAGTACAAACCCATTAAGGATCCAGAGCAAGCGCGATGGACAAACATCGCGCATAAGACGCGATGCCCTCATCGCGCAGGACAGGACGCGATGCCCGTATCGCGGATAAAACCCCCTTAAGGAAGCTGACTTAAGGCCCAAGGCAATCCCACCGCGCCTTTATTCCAATAAACGAAAGACAGCTCCAGCTTGCCGCGACTCTACGACTGGACATTAGAGAAAATAAGGCTACTCAGGTCCTAGCACTGACCTGCAGCCCCAGCCTGGCCACTCAGAGGCCAAGCCGCCTTGCTAAGGCGACATCATAACCACCATATAAGCAAATGGTACAACACCAAGGTATGATCATCCTTTGCATTAATAACATACAAACTCCTGCCTCTGATACTAACTTAAGCATCGGAGTGTCTTCACAGGTACCCTCATTCAGATTCATCGCGCTACAACAAAGGAAAGAGATATAGTAAGATCCAACTCTGATACAAGGCCCAAGACCAAGAACAACAATCCACATCTCAACCGTGTGTGATTAGGCTCGATACATATTGGCCAGCCCATATTGTATTTGGTCTGATCAGATTTATACAGAAAAATTTGGCATCTAAAAATAATAAGATAATAGTCAAGAACAAAATAAAGACAATATCTATCACCGAAAACATCAGAAACTCTCTTCCAAAAGAAAATGACGCAAAATTTGGTCAGAAGAAATTATAGTCAACGGAAAAAAATAATTAGACAACAATACCGACAAAAAAGTAATATATTATTATTTTAATTAAAGTTATCAAAATATAATATTTTAAAATTAATTTATAAATCTATTATCCGTACTCAAAATAAATATGACCCTTTATTCGTGCTTAGATTAAGCGCAATCCACAGCCTAAACACACCTTTTTTAGACGTGTTAGGTGGAGAGAGTTTTTGATTGGACGGGAATACGGTGGTCCCCTCCCAAAAAAAAAAAAAAAGGGATTGAGAGAGAAAAAATCAAAAAAAGACGGATAAAAATGAAAGAAAAATTTCTATTTATGAAAAATGACCACTGAATAACATTGTTTAAAAATTCGGTCTGCCCATCGACCCGACCGAGGTCAGGGATCACGGAGTCACGGGTTCAATCGGGGGGTCATGGGGTCACTACGCTGACCCGATTTTATATATTAAAAATATATAAATATATATATATATATCCTATATGAAAATATTAAAAAATAAATCACTAATCATCAAAGATTCAAAATATACTTAACACAATTCACCAATTACACCCACAAGTCAATATTACACAACCTAATTAAAGTATCAAGATACCAAAGTACAAAACTCATATTCTAATGGGGTCAGGGTCACTACGCTGACCCGATTCTGCCTCTTTTGAGAAGGTCCTTGACAAAGAAAAATTTAAAGGAAGTAAGAATGAATTTTTGTTTTCCATCGACGGCCGTAAGGATTTTATTTGAATAGGTAAAATTCTTACCTTTTCTAGAAGATTCACGGCAAGATTGAAGACGTTTAGGTCGCTGGGAGAGAAGAGACCGATTAGATTTAGGTTTGCAAGTATTTTTTTTTTTTTTTAATAAAACGATGTTGTTTCATGGAATTTAAAAAAAAAACATGCAGTGACCTCTTTGACCCCTCTGACCCTGGAGTCACTGAAACCCGACCGAGTTTTGAGGGTCAAAAGGGTCGATATGCATATAGAGTCCAACTTATGACTCCATCCCTCAGAGGAGAGGGGTAAAGGTTGATCCGAATCAACCCGAGAAGTGAGATGAGATTTTAAAACACTGCTAAATAAGTGGTGGGGCGAGCTGATGCCTAATTTGTACGTCATCCATCCCTCCGTTAAGTTGTCAATTATTTGTTGTGTTTTCATTTGTGTGGCTGTGAACAAAATTGTCTTCTAATGCAAGACAACAGTATTAACAGTATCACTGATAGCAAACAATGACCCTGTCGATCAATCTACCATTTTTTAAATTTATCTTTTTATAAGCGGTTGATGGGATAGCTTACTTCAACTTGAAAATAAGTAGGAAATTCCAAATTCAAATGAGTGAATTATGACAAGTGTTCCATTTTAAAAATGGCATATCATTATTATATTTATTTTTAAATTTAAAAATAATTTTTCAAGATAATTAAGCTTTCCCTTTGTATAATTTTGAAATTTTCATTTTAAAGTCATATTTTTTACCTGAATTAATCATACATAATATCTTACAATTTTAAATTTTAAATATTTTTTAAAATTATATTTATTAAGTTCTATCTAAATTTGAAAATTGACACAGGTGTGTTTGATCCTTGATATGTCCATGTCTGTTCATACATAATATCTTACAATTTTAAATATTTTTAAAATTATATTTGTTAAGTTCTATTTAAATTTTAAATATCCATGACACTGTATCCTCTCTTGAACTCTCCTACTATGAGAAAAAGAAAAAAGAACAGTGGGGAACACAGACTCATTGGGGCATGCATTTTTGGAATGAAACCATGTTTTTGAAGAGCAAAAGACCTTCAAGTGGTCCCCACCGTGCAAATACTCTGTCATTAAAGCATTCCAAGAAATCACATTTCTCAAGGGCATTGCACCAAACATTCTTTGGGCAAGGCACAATTGGGCACAATTGAAATATAGATGGATTAGGAAGTTTACTAGAGTGATGTCATAGGGCTTTGAAGTATGGTTGCGAATGAGCAATTGGGCTGTGTATTGGAGGTACATGCCATTCCTTGAAGAACTTGTTAAGCTTTTGAAACTCTCATGCCAAATGGCTATCATTTGGCAAAGCCATCCATATCCAATTGCTTATTCGCAACCATACTTGAAAGCATTCTGACTTCACTCTACTGAACTCCCTAATCCATCTATATGTCAAATGTGGCCAACTTTGTCTTGCCTGAAGAGTGTTTGATGCAATGCCCTTGAGAAATGTGGTTTCTTTGAATGCTTTAATGGCGGGGTATCTACACGGTGGGGACCACTCGGAAGTCCTTTTGCTTTCCAAAAACACGATTTCAGTGTAAAGTGCATTCCCTAATGAGTCTGTGTTCCCCACTGTTCTTTCTTCTTGTTCTCATAGTAGGAGAGTCCAAGAGGGGATGTAGTACCATGGATATTTGTTCAATCTTGGATTTGTGTCTCATGAGTATGTGAAGATTGTACTTGTTTGCATGTACTCAAGTTGCTTTCATGTGAGGTTAGCATTGCAGGTTTTGGATACAGTGCCTGATGGGAATGATAGTAATATCTTTTCTTATAACTCTGTCCTGAATGTACTTGTGGAATCTGGGCTTAGGGAAGAGGCTGTGGAAGTCTTGGAAATGACGATGGATGAATGGTAGTTTGGGATAATGTTACATATGTCAGTGTCATGGTCCTTTGTGCTTATATTAGATATGTGCAACTGGGTTTGCAAGTTCATACCCGATTGTTGAGGGGTGGTTTGAAGTTTGATGAATTTGTTGGTAGCAAGCTAGTAGACATATATGGAAAATATGGTGAAGTTTTGAATGCAAGAAAAGTTTTTGATGACTTGCAAAAGAAAAATGTAGTTGTGTGGACAACCCTCATGACTACTTACTTGCAGAATGGTTATTTTGAGGAGACTTTGAATATGTATGCCAAGGCTAGTAGGTGGGATAGAGTCATGACGATTCGGAATCGGATGAGGGAAAGAAACATTAAGAAGGAACCTGGAGTAAGTTGGCTAAAGATAGCAAATAAAATCCATGTCTTTCATTCAGAAAATAGTAACTATCCGGAGTTTATTCAAAATTATAAAAAGGTCGAACAATTGTTGGAAATGATATGTGTCAAATATTGTCAATGTGCTACATGATGTGGAAGATGAGCAGAAGGAAGGTGATAAGACTCTTTGAAAAATTTACTATAGGAGACGTAGAATAGGATCATACCAAAATACTGACTCAGCTGGAGTAGGTAAGAATATTGCTGATTTATATTCCCTAATTGTCTTTTTTTATTAAATTTAATAATCTTAAAATACATTTACACTAAGTTATTGGGTTTATATCTCCTGCAACGTGTTTTTGAAGATCAAAAAGACTTCCAAGTGATCCCCATCGTGCAGATATCCCATTCCAAGAAACCATATTTCTCAAGGGCATTGCGCTAATTACTCTTCGAGAAAGACACAGCTGGCCTCATTTGACATATAGATGGGTTAGGGGGTTGAGTAGAGTGATGCCAGAGTGCTTTGAAGTACGGTTGCGAATGAGCACGTGTAGGGATCGAGAAAACATTCTGCCTAACGAGTACACTTTTGTAGTTTTGCTTAATTCATGTGTAGGGATAACGACACTGAGATTTGATGATCTATTACATTCTCAAGAGTAGAAGTTAGGTTTAAAAAATCATGTCATTGTCAGCAATGGTTTGATAAATACGTATTTCGAGGGTGGCAGCATTGATTCATCATATAATGTATTCTTAAATATGATATATCGAGATATTATCAGTTGGAATGCTATGATATGTGGGTATTCCCATCATGCACTTGGCAAATAGACTTTATTAGTGTTCCAAGACATGGTGTCAGCATGAAAATGTCCAAACTATATAACCTTTGTGGGGTTCTTTCAGCTTGTGCTTATTTGGGTCTTGTGCAGGAAAGGTTTTACTACTTGAACTAGCTTATGAAAAAATTTAAGATTGTGCATGGATGGAGCACTACACCTGTATGGTTGTGGTTTTCTGCAAGGCTGGTTTGCATGACAAAGCTGAGAATTTCATGAAAATAATTCAGGTGGAATGAGATGTTATTGCCTAAAGAGTTGTGCTCAACGCATGCCACATTAGTATGATTGAGCATGTTTTAGTTGCTCATTCGCAACCATACTTGAAAGCACTATTACATCACTCTACTCAACTCCGTAATCCAACTACATGTCAAATGTGGCCAACTTTGTCTTGCCTTAAGAGTGTTTGATGCAATGCCCCTGAGAAATGTGGCTTCTTGGAATGCTTTAATGGCAGGGTATGTGCACGGTGCGGACCACTTGGATGTCTTTTTGCTCTTAAAAAATATGGTTTCATTGCAAAGTGCATTCCCCAATGAGATTGTGTTCCCCACTGTTCTTTCTTCTTGTTCTCAGAGTAAGAGAGTCCAAGAGGGGATGCAGTATCATGGATATTTGTTCAAGTTTGGATTTGTGTCTCATGAGTATGTGAAGATTGTACTTGTTTGCATGTACTCAAGGTGCTCTCATGTGAAGTCAGCATTGCACGTTTTGGATACGGTGGCTAGTGGGAATTATAGCAATATATTTTCTTATAACTCTGTCCTGAAGGTACTTGTGGAATCTGGGCTTAGGGAAGAGGATGTGGAAGTCACGGGGATGACAATGGATGAATATGTTGTTTTGAATAATGCTACATATGTCAGTGTCATGGGCCTTTGTGCTCAGATTAGAGATTTGCGACTGGGTTTGCGAGTTCATACCCGATTGTTGAAGGGTGGTTTGAAGTTTGATGAATTTGTTGGTAGCAAGCTAGTAGACATGTATGGAAAATATGGTGAAATTTTGAATGCAAGGAAAGTTTTTAATGGTCCTCAAAAGAAGAATATAGTTGCGTAGATAGCCCTCATGACTGCTTACTTGTAGAATGTTTATTCTGAGGAGACTTTGAATCTTTTTACATGTATGGGTCGAGAAGATATTCTGCTTAACTAGTACACTTTTGCAATTTTGCTTAATGGATGTGCAGGGATAACGGCACTGAAATATGGTGATCTATTACATGCCCAAGTTGAGAAGTTAGGTTTAAAGAATCATGTCATTGTCAGGAATGCTTTGATAAATATATATTCCGAGAGTGGTAGTATTTATTCATCTTATAATGTATTCTCAGATATGATATATTGAGATATTATCGGTGGGGATGCTATGATATGTAGGTATTCCCATCAAGAACTTGGGTAACAAGCTTTATTAGTGTTCCAAGATATTGTGTCTATTGGAAAATGTCCAAACTATGTAACCTTTGTCGGGGTTCTTTCTGCTTGTGTTCATTTAGGTCTTTTACAAGAAGGGTTTTACTACTTGAACCAGCTTATGAAAAAATTTAAGATTGTGCATGGATGGCACACTACACATGTATTGTTATGCTTTTGTGCAGGGATGGTTTGCATGACAAAGCTGAGAATTTCCTGAAGATGATTCAGGTGGAGTGACATGTTGTTGCCCAGAGAACTGTACTCAATGCTTGCCACATTCATATGATTGAGCATATTTCAGTTGTTCATTTGCAGCCATACTTAAAAGCCTTCTGACATCAATCCACTCAATTTCCTAATCCATTTATATGTCAAATATGACCAACTGTGTTTTGTCTGAAGAGTGTTTGATGCAATGCCCTTGAGAAATATGGTTTCTTGGAATGCTTTAATACAATGCCCTTGAGAAATGTGGTTTCTTGGAATGCTTTAATGGCGGGGGTTTGCACGGTGGGGACCACTTGAAAGTTTTTTTTCTCTTCAAAAACATGCTTTCATTGCAAAATGCATGCCCCAATGAGTCTATGTTCCCCACTTTTCTTTCATTTTGTTCTCATAGTAGGAGAATCCAAGAGGGAATGCAATGGCATGGATTTTTGTTCAAATTTGGATTTGTGTCTCATGAGCATGTGAAGAGTGTACTTGTTCACATGTACTCAATGTGCTCTCATGTGAAGTTAGCATTGCAAGTTTTTGATACAGTTCCTGGTGGGTATGATAGCAATATCTTTTCTTATAACTTTGTCTTGAATGTACTTGTGGACTCTGGGCTTAGGAAAGAGGCTGTGGAAGTCATGGGGATGACGACAGTGGATGAATGTCTAGTTTAGGATAATTTTAGACATATTAGTGTCATGAGCCTTTGTGCTTATATTAGAGATTTGCAGTTGGGTTTGTGAGTTCATGCCCGGTTGTTGTGGGGTAGTTTGAAGTTTGATGAATTTGTTGGTAGCAAGCTAATAAATATTAAAACACTTATTAAAAAAGAAAAAAAGAATGAAGCATATGATTTTATGTAACCTGCAACATGACTTAGATTTGTGACCAGTTTTTATTAAAATTGGTCAGTGCCCCACCTTGTATTTTTTACCCTTACTCTATAAAATAACTTTTTGTAAAAATTTTTTAGAAAAAAAAGTATGAGAAATTAAATAATAATTTTTAATTATCTAACCACTTAGGGGTAGATATTGAAGGTAGGGGGAAGATAGACATCCTCTTCCCTACCAACACAACTAACAATATGTAAATCTGTTCTCTACAACAAATATTGGACCTCAAATAAGCATTAAGAGTGTCTTTTTCAATCTAATAAATGAGAAAAATTCCAGCTCAAACACGAACTACATTGCCAATTTGTTAGGCCATGGCATGATTCCACACAAATACAAAAATTTGCATTTGAACCACATCAACACTGCCAAATCTAAAAGCGGTAGAATGGAGGAAAATGACTCTACTAACAGAAGATCAGTACAACAAATATAATCATATTATTAGAATAAATAAATAAATAACGATAAGTTTATACAGAAAAAATTGTCATCTAAAAATAATAAGATAATAGTTGAAAATTAAGAACAAAATAAAGATAATATCTATCACCGTAAACATCGGAAATACTCTTCCAAAAGAAAATGACGCACAATTTGGTCAGAAGAAATTATAGTCGAGAGAAAAAAATAATTAGACAACAAAATACCATAACATAGCAGTCAAATTTCATCAGCACTCAACTTGGGAAAGCAAGGTCCCCAGCAGCATCCCCAATTCCCCCATCGAGGAATTCTCTCTGCACACTACCTTATAAATTAGTGCCAGTCCTTTGTAATTACGTTTTTTTTTTTGTATTACTTTGTAACTACGTTTTTAAGTTTGAATAATACAAGCTTCCTGAATTTCCTGCTCTGTGAGAAGCTTTGTGGTATGGACATATTCAGAAACAGAGGTAATGTCTATAGACTCCAAACTAATGGATTTCACAGAAAACTGGGCTCCAACTGCCTTTATAGTTCTCTCTATAAATTCTGATCTTGGCAAATACTCCTTCATTCGACAAACAAAATCATGGTGACCTCTCGTCTGCACCATAGCAATCAAATGTGAACATGGATTGATAAACAATTGAAGGAAAATAAACTTAAAACATGTAAGTTTGATGTATCTACAGACAACAATACAATTGAAGGAAAATAAACTTAAAACATGTAAGTTTGATGTATCTACAGACAACAATAACCCCTATTCAAATTATACAGAGACACACAAGAAAAGCAAAAAAGAAGTAAGGTTTGCCATTCATTGCAGAGGACTCCTAGTTGGAGCTAAATGTCACTAAAGGAGTAGACTAAAATAGTTTGACTTTTATTCAACTAAAATCAGTCATAGCAGAATATATGTAGTAAATGCAAAGTACGAGATAGGATGTAAAGGAAGAGAACTGCTTCTGTTATAGAGGTCCCATGTGTGCTAATTAGCTCATTCAGTTAAAGTTAGTTATGCAATTCTGTTAGCATATACACGATAAATAGGTAGTGGATGCAATTCATTGTGAAGAAACATTTCATTTTCACATACAATAAACTCTTTCTCTATTCTTTCTCTCTGCACTTGGTACCTTTTCTAGGAGAGAGTAATTTACTCAAAATTTTAATATGCTAGGAAGGTGGAGATTACGAACAAGCCACATTTGTGTTATGATTTGACTAGACAAAGGCATTTTTGTATCATCGGATAGAAGATTATAATATCATCCCATATTATCTTTTCATCAAGCCACTTGAAGCAGAAAAATATGTAACAACAACCTTATACATCACAACACAGCATCAACAACACCTATATCCCAAACTAGTTGGGTTCGCTGCAAACGAACCCAAATGAAAAGTACAAAAAATATGATAACAACTTTTTAATCCCATAAAAAATATGCACGGGATACAGCACATTGACCCAACCAAAAGAAGATAGTGAGCACAGAGCATATCAATAACTCCAGTGCAGCGAAAAGAAAGATAAAAATATAATCTTACCAATCGGTACTTTGGTGCCTTTGCAGGTAACTTGAGATAAGACATGTTCTTGACATCATAATCCCATAAAAAAGATGTGTGGTGTATCCACCGATGCTTGGTTATAGATTGAGCATTACCACCAAACTTGCGATCACCAAAAACATAATCTTTGAGAACAAAGGAAATAAGAATCCAATCAGAAATTCATTATAAGTTTCATGAAACAGATGTTGGAATTTGTTCAGTGTGAACATTAAAGGTTAAATTGGTTTGATAGTGCTTATGGTTGATCTGAACTTAATTCCCCCTGAACTTAATCCTCCCCCTTATATATGTTATATTAACGGTTATTATTAAGGGATATGGGGCAGTTATTAACTTGGCAGTTACAATGATCGTGATTTATTATCGTATAGGTGGAAAGAGATGTGGATTGCAGCCATACTCTGGGCTCCACTTCGGCATTCTGAGAAGGGCTCACGATTTGGACTCCGGGTAGACGGGTTCATATCCGGGTAATGATACATGGGCTTCCAGGTTATGCCTAAATAGGCCCATCCGAGTTACAAATCCGGAACAGAATTTAAACAAAGATTTCAAATTGACCAATGGAATCGGTTTACTTGTTTCTCAGAGCAAAATCAAAAGCAATGTGTGCTTCCAAATAAGATACCTACACATGTTTTGTAGAGAAAATGGAAGTGCCAAAAGAAACTACACAAAAGTAGACAGAAACATAGGAATTTCATTATAAGAAGTTGGAATAGAAGTGACTGCATTCACCAAGTTGCTGGAGGAACTTGCCATTTCTATTTCTGTTACACAAACAGAAAAGAATCACGGTTTAATTTACACAAAATTAAACCCAACAAATCAATCTAATGATTGATATTAAATTACTAAAAAGTATGACAGTTATGCACAATAAATGAAATTGCCAATGATTATTTATAATATTGTAATTTCGAAATTCTAGTTTCCAAGAACCAGAATAAAATCTCAAAATTTGTAATCACCAAAGACAAGATTAAATATACAAACCTTCAACACATTACTAATTTAATTTAAAGCAATGTGATTACAACTATTAACGCACAACAAGAAACAAAAATTAATAAAAGCCGAGACACAAGATTTTGACCACAGAATAAAACACAACTTCAGCTCGTATAACATGCATAATTTGTGAAGAAACAAAACAAAATTTTAAGACTTTCACACTGGTTCATCAATAATCTACTGCTGAGAACGAAACATGAATAATGCAAATTGTTCAAGCAACTCCACACTATCGATTTTCAATGTCCATCTAACACATAAAAAACTGGTAGTAAAATGGTTTCAGAAACATAGTAAAAGCATATTGATACAGGAATCAATCAATGTACCATTCTCACGGAGACGGAAATCAGCAAGCCCTTCAAAAACTTCACTGTATAATAGACCACTCCACGACATGATAGAGCGGGGAAAAGGTTGCACATTTGAAACAGCATCTTTATTGCATATCAGAGTAACAAATATAGTATCATGGTCAACAACAACAGTTCCTCCCCCGGTAAACCTTCTGATGATGGGTATATGATCTCGCAACACAGACTTGACTTCAACAAGTTCTGAAAGTTTCCTATGTAAATATTCCACATTGAAATTAAGTATTTTCCCCTTGCTTATTCTTACTGTGTGTGTGAGGGAGGAGTGAAGGAGGCATTTCACAAATAAAGCAAATCAACAAGTGACCTGGCACGTAGCCAAAAAAAAATAAATAGGAAAGGAAGATGTCCCAACATTTTCTAACTTAAGGGTGCATCTAATTAACTTAATCCTTCAGGGTTCCCCAGAATGCGGCCTCTAGAATGTAACATTCATTTTCTAGATAGAAGTGTGGTTAAAACACTCTGAGGCATTTTTCATACCTGGGAGTGAAAAATTCCCACAAGATTAATGAAAACCATTCCCATGGGGGAGGTGAGAACTTTACATTCCCATAATGTGCAAATGATATTAACAAGTAGAAGCACAACATTACCCACCCACCCCACTCCCCCTTTGTCAACCTTCTCACACTCTATTCACCAGTACCACCATCACCCTACGGTCCCTACTGCAGCTGCTACGCAACACCACCTCCATTGTTACCACACAATCACCCATGCCGCCACCACACTGACTACCATTGTTGTCACCAACTCTACTATCATTGCATTCTAAAGAGACCATCTTCAAGCATAGATATTCATGTTCATGCCAAATAAATTTGAAAAGAAAAAACGTGCCATATAAGAATAATCAGTAAAACTGGATATTGATTCTGAAATAGAGGAGCATTCTAAAGATATAACGAATTACCCAGACAAGCCCATTACAATGGCAGGGGAATTGGTTCCATCATTAATAAGGCACCAATTATCTGAACTGGTTCGAAGCAATCGTTCCTCTAAATGCAATTGCTGCAAAATAGGCAGCCCTCTCAACCTAACCAGCTTCATCAATGGAAAACTTTCTCTTGCCTTGCCCACCATAGCCATTATCCAGTGCTTTGCTTCTGCAATTGAATGAAACATTGAAGACATTCATAAAGACATGTGGTCTGCTATAATAACATAAACAAATAAAAGATCAAATGAGTGTATTCCCAGACTTAAAACTCAAAGCTTTAGCCTTTTAATAAGTGCCTCCTTCCTCCTGCTCAATCTACTATATTCAATTCAGATAACTGGAAGAAAACAAATCTACATATGTTATTTACTTGATTTTGTTTTGTTATCAATTTTTCTCATTTGTTATAAACCAAATAACAACAACAACGAGAACATTAAGAAACGAAAAAAAAAGTCAAAGGTAATTGCAAAGAACGAGAATGAGGGATTCTGCAAAAAAATAAGCCACCCAAATGAGAGACTCCCAAAAAACAACACAAGAACTAAAGCTGATTAATGAAAGCACTCCATATTTTATTTACCAGAACAGAATCTATTCCAAAACTAATTGAATGATTTTAGAATGTATAAGCCAATTAAAGACACATTCTATCAAACAGGTTGTGAGCAACAACAAAAAAATCCAAATAATGTTTATGCATCATTGTCTCGGAGCAATTTGCAATTCAATACCATTCATGAAAAGTCCTTATTATGCTAAGTCTACATTATTGACTCTAATATCGAATGTCTTTGACTGAACCTTAGTATCTTTCATTGCCGAATTGGGTTCAGCTGGGAGCGTTCAAAAGTATTGAAAATTGAAGAATTACAACAATTTCCCACAAGACGACTTTGAGCTTACCCACTCGCAGATTACAACGTTGAAAGCAAGGTAGCTATTTCACACTTCACAGTGTGAGATGAGATGCACATTTTATCACTCCTTTACTCGCTGATTATAAGGTGGCAATTCATAACCCGACCCGTCAACCCAATCCGAACCCGACACGGAATATCTATGATCGGGTCAACCCCTTTAATAAACAATTGTGTTTGGGTCGGAAAAATTTAATGAAAAAAAAATTGTGATCGGGTTAGGACTTAGGAGTCAACCTCTGGAGAGAATTTATTCCGGTTCGTCACCACTATTTTTTATATGGTTCTGAAAGAGTAAAATTAAAAAAAAAGAAAAATAGTAGAGATAAAAAGGAAAAGAAAAAATTAGTGTTGTGAGAGAGAGCACCAAATCATTGGGTGGTCTTAGAGCATATTAAATATTTCTCAAACCTGTGAACTCGCTAACTCATAAATATTATTTTTTGGGATAGAATATTATTATTATCAAATAATGTTATTATTAATGTTACTATCATATTTTAACTGTTGATGTTTGTCAGATTATCATTATTGTGAATTAATAATTAATTAATGAGTTTGATTTGTAAAAATAATAATAATTAATTGACGAAAATCAATGATTAAAATATAATAGTAACATTAATAATAATATTATTTGGCACTAACAATATCCTATCACATGTAAAATTAACTTTGGGAAAGGATAAAAATTTTTAGGTATGATTTCTTCCAGAATCATTTAACTCCTGTATTTTTTTTTTTGTTATTACTTATTTTTTTTAAAAAAATTATCCAAATAAATTTTTAACATCGTTGAAAATTAAATTAATTTATCTATTTTACCTATGTTAGCAATTAAAAATGATATAAGGGAGTAAGAGATAAAAGATTAAATCTTTTGAACTTTTCCTTTATAACAATTTAAAAAATAAAAAAAAAATGATGTGAGCAATAATATGGATTGGAACAAGCTTATGAGATATATAACCCTTGCAAATAAATGATGTTTTATCAACATCACTCATGTGTATTTTATGTTTTTTGGTTATTGTATTTGAAATTTTGAATACATCATTATCATACATTTAGATAATTGTTAAAGGGAAATCTATTATTATCCAAATAATTTAACTTTTTATTTTAATTCTATCTATTTTTTAATAGATTAGAAATTAATATTTAAAAAAAGAAGATTAAAACCATATAAATAGAGCACCCGTTAACAAATTCGTTTATATTTCACACAAAAAAACAACCAATTAGTGTTATTATCAATGTTATTACCAATGAATTTCACCGTTAGATCGATTATGTTGATCCAACGGTTATATTTATTTTCATTTTTATATAGTTATGATTCTCCATATTTAATATTTAATATTTATTTTTACTTAGGTTATAATTTCCCATATTTAAATATGAAAAATTATAACCATACAAAGAGGAAAATAAATATAATCGTTGGATCGACATAATCTCTAACGATGAAATTGATTGGTATAATATCTTATAAAATTTTTTTTAATACTATTTAATCCTAATTTAAGTACATTCGAAGAGTGCTCACAATTCACAAATATAATGATGTTCGTCTCAATTCCCAAAAATTTGCATCTCACCTCACACTGTGAAGTGTGAATAGCTACCCTGCTTTCAACGTTGTAATCTGCGAGTGGGTAAGCTCAAAGTTGTCTTGTGGGAAATTGTTGCTTCTTCAATTTTCAATACTTTTGAATGCTCCCAACTGAACCCAATTCGGCAATGAAAGATTAAGTCAAAGACATTAGATATTAGAGAGAAGAATGTAGACTTCAAATAATAAGGACTTTCCATGAATGGTATTGAATTGCAAATTGCTCCGAGACAATGATGTAGAAACCTTGTTTGATTTTTTGTTGTTGCTCACAACCTGTTTGATAGAATGTGTCAAATTGAAATTTTTTGTTGCTCACGACCTGTTTGATAGAATGTGTCTTTAATTGGCTTATACATTCTGAAATCATTCAATTAGTTTTGGAATAGATTCTGCTCTGGTAAATAAAATAGGGATTGCTTTCATTAATCGGCTTTAGTTCTTGTGTTGTTTTGGGAGTCTTTCATTTGGGTTGTTTATATTTTTGCTGAATCCCTCATTCTCATTCTTTGCAATTACCTATCACTTTGTCTTTTGGTTCTTAATGTTCTCAATTTTCATTTAAACGCTTTTTTATTGTTCTTCAGTTGATAGTTGAAAAGTTTGCATTTATGCTGTAAGTAGTTATTATTATTGTTATTTGGTTTAAATCAAATGAGAAAAATTAATAACAAAAAATCAAGCAAATAGCTTATGTAGATTTGTTTTCTTCCAATTATCTGAATTGAATCTGAGCAGGAGGAAGGAGGCACTTATTAAAAGGCTAAAGCTTTGATTTTTAAGTCTGGGAATACACTCATTTGATCTTTCATTTGTTTATGTTATTATAGCAGACCACATGTCTTTTATGAATGTCTTCAATGTTTCATTCAATTGCAGAAGCAAAGCACTGGATAATGGCTATGGTGGGCAAGGCAAGAGAAGCAGGTTTTCCATTGATGAAGCTGGTTAGGTTGAGAGGGCTGCCTATTTTGCAGCAATTGCATTTAGAGGAACGATTTCTTCGAACCAGTTCAGATAATTGGTGCCTTATTAATGATGGAACCAGTTCCCCTGCCATTGTAATGGGCTTGTCTGGGTAATTCGTTATATCTTTAGAATGTTCCTTTATTTCAGAATCAATATCCAGTTTTACTAATTATTCCTATACGGCATGTTTTTTCTTCCAATTTATTTGGCATGAACATGAATATCTATGCTTGAAGATGGTCTCTTTAGAATGCAATGATGGTAGGGTTGGTGACAAAATTGGTGGTCAGTGTGGTGGCGGCATGGGTGATTGTGTGGTAGCAATGGAGTTGGTGTTGAGTGGCAGCTGCAGTAGGGTGATGGTGGTACTGGCGAATAGAGTGTGAGAAGGTTGACAGAGGGGGTGGGTGGGTAATGTCATGCTTCTACTTGTTAAAATCATTTGCACATTATGGGAATGTAAAGTCCTCACCTCCCCAATGGGAATGGTTTTCATTAATATTCTGGGAATTTTTAACTCCCAGGTATGAAAATTGCCTCAGTGTTTTAACAACACTTCTATCTAGAAAATGAATGTTACATTCTAGAGGCCGCATTCTAGGGAACCCTGCGCATAATAAAAAACCTACGGATGTGTGATGATTGCCACATTGCTGTAAAACTAATATCAATGTATCTTTATGTTAGATAATATTCTATCATTTTCTTTTTCTTATCAAATTTAATAATTTTAAAATACATTTGAGACTAAATTATTTTATTAAAATGAATTTTGGGCAGAAAGTGCAGTCATGCAACGGTGCCTGTGTCTTGGAGATACCTGGCATCCCTTGAAGAACTTATTAAGCTTTTGAAACTCTCTGCTGACGCCAAATGGCTACAAGTTGGCAAAGCCATACATAGCCAGTTGCTCATTCGCAACCAAACTTTAAAGCACTCTGACATCACTCAACTCAACTCCCTAATCCATCTCTATGTCAAATGTGGCCAACTGTGTCTTGCCCGAAGAGTGTTTGATGCAATGCCCCAGAGAAATGTGGTTTCTTGGAATGCTTTAATGGCGGGGTATCTGCACGGTGGGGATCACTCGGAAGTCCTTTTGCTCTTCAAAAACATGGTTTCATTGCAAAATGCATGCCCCAATGAGTATGTGTTCACCACTGTTCTTTCTTCTTGTTCTCATAGTAGGAGAGTCCAAGAGGGGATGCAGTGTCATGGGTATTTGTTCAAGTTTGGATTTGTGTCTCATCCGTATGTGAAGAGTACGCTTGTTCACATGTACTCAAGGTGCTCTCATGTGAAGATAGCATTGCAGGTTTTGGATACAGTGCCTTGTGGGCATGATAACGATATCTTCTCTTATAACTCTGTCTTGAATGCACTTGTGGAATCTGGGCTTAGGGAAGAGGCTGTGGAAGTCTTGAGGAGGATGGTGGATGAATGTGTAGTTTGGGATAATGTTACATATGTCAGTGTCATGGGCCTTTGTGCTCAGATTAGAGATTTGCAATTGGGTTTGCGAGTTCATGCCCGGTTGTTGAGGGGTGGTTTGATGTTTGATGAATTTGTTGGTAGTATGCTGGTAGACATGTATGGAAAATGTGGTGAAGTTTTGAATGCAAGGAAAGTTTTTGATGGCTTGCAAAAGAAGAATGTAGTTGTGTGGACAGCCATCATGACTGCTTATTTGCAAAATGGTTATTTTGAGGAGACTTTGAATCTTTTTACATGTATGGATCGAGAAGATATTCTGCCTAACGAGTACACTTTTGCAGTTTCTCTTAATGCATGTGCAGGGATAGTGGCACTGAGACATGGTGATCTATTACATGCTCAGGTTGAGAAATTAGGTTTAAAGAATCATGTCATTGTTAGGAATGCTATGATAAATATGTATTCCAAGAGTGGCAGCATTGATTCCTCGTATAATGTATTCTCAGATATGATATATCGAGATATTATTAGTTGGAATGCTATGATATGTGGGTATTCCCATCATGGACTTGGTAAACAGGCTTTATTAGTGTTTCAAGGCATGGTGTCTGCTGGAGAATGTCCAAACTATGTAACCTTTATCGGGGTTCTTTCTGCTTGTGCTCATTTGGGTCTTGTACAGGAAGGATTTTATTACTTGAACCAGGTAATGAAAAATTTTAAGATTGAGCCTGGATTGGAGCACTACACCTGTATGGTTGCGCTTTTGTGCAGGGTTGGTTTGCTTGATGAAGCTGAGAACTTCATGAAGACAACTCAAGTGGAGTGGGATGTTGTTGCCTGGAGAACTTTGCTTCATGCATGCCACATTCATCGAAATTATGACTTGGGGAAACGAATTGCTGAATCTGTCTTACAAATGGACCCTCATGATGTGGGGACATACACATTGCTATCAAATATGTATGCCAAGGCAAGTAGGTGGGATGGAGTCATGACGATTCGGAAACTGATGAGGGAAAGAAACATTAAGAAGGAACCTGGAGTAAGCTGGCTGGAGATAGCAAATGAAATCCATGTCTTTCTTTCAGAAGACAGTAACCATCCCGAGTCTATTCAAATTTATAAGAAGGTCGAACTCTTGTTGGAAATGATTAAGCCAATAGGATATGTGCCAAATATTGCCGCTGTGCTGCATGATGTTGAAGATGAACAAAAGGAAGGTTATCTTAGTTATCACAGTGAGAAGCTGGCCATAGCATATGGCCTCATGAAAATACCTTCACCAGCACCTATCCGCATAATTAAAAACCTACGGATGTGTGATGATTGCCACACTGCTCTAAAACTAATATCAAAGGTCACAAACAGGCTGATAATTGTTAGAGATGCTAGCCATTTTCATCATTTTCGAGATGGATCCTGTACTTGTGCTGACAACTGGTAGCATTTACATAAATTTTGCAGTCATGGTTGTTTGAAGTGAATATTGTAGGTTCTACACCACATTAGCACGGACTGCATCTTAAGGGTATCAAGCATAGTCTGAGAATGTCTATTCAACTTGGATAACATCTGTGTAAATTTTATGGATCTTCTTGTGGTCTAAGTTTCTTGAAATCAATTCAATTTTCGTTTGGTCTAAAATAAATCATTGGTGATATAGAAACTTTGTATCTTTCTGTGTTGCGCTGAAAAGAGGAGTCACTGAAATGGTTGATAGGTAAAAACTCAGACTTCTCTGCAGTTTTTCAAACATTTTGTATCTTTTCTTTTCTTTTCTTTTCTTTCGTATATGTAACTTAATTCTTGATGAGATTTGCGAGAGCTTTATCATGAATTCCATTGGTGGTTTTGCATGGTTAGCTTTGGTCAGTTGGAATGATATAGTAACTCATGTATTTATCATTTTTGTCCATGACTCAGGAGCAACTATACCAACTGCATTTCTGAAATATCTTCAAGCAATGGATAACTGATATTTCAAGCTGACTGTATTAGAATGGGATCGCCGAAGATTTCTACCACTCCAAATGATACTAAATTCTCTTCCGAGATGTTATTGGTGAGCATCAGCAACCTTATGGTGGCGTTCTTTTTCTGTCTCTTGGGGCTGGATACCAATTGAAATTTTGTTATTATAACTAACTCTTCTTCCAGATGCCACTGAAATTCTTATTTCTATTGAATTTCTGATCTTTTATTTCACATAATAGGAAGAAAAAGCAACTTCACACTTCACAAAGAGTTTCAAGTCAACAAAATAAATGCTATCCAAATTAAATAGTGCCCAGTACACACTCCAATATGAAAAGCAGCCTACTTCTCTTGTGGCTTTGCAATACTGAGATGTAACCTCATTTTTTAGTGATCTGCAACGTTCTAGAATTGTACGTGGTGTGTATATTCACCTTGCAGCCAACTGAACAGATTGAACATGAATTTGAGTAGTTTAATTCCAGGGCTAGAACAATTTTAACTGCTAGGGGATGCTGGTTGATTGGATGAACCAGAGTTTCCCTGAATCAATTCCAGTCAAGCCAAACTAATCAGTTTTGGGGTTCTTTGGTTGGGTTTCTATAATGTATGGCTATCTCAATGGTTAGAGCTTACAGAGAAGCTTTTGATGTTGAAACCAGATAATCCCAGCAAGCAAGAAAAGGCCAAGTAATTTCCCAGGGACTTCATGTGGGCCACAAGTTTCTTTAAGTTAATTCCATTCTCATGTTACAGTTAGTTTGTATAACAACTATCTACTTTCTAGGGGACAAATATTCATATTGCATCGGTGCAACGATAAAAAGAGGCGGAGATGAAATTTCCCTTTGAGTTGCTTTAGAGAGTGGTTATGGGAACTAATGTTTGATAATTACATAAGATATTATATTAATGCAGCTACTGATCTTGTAACGTATTCCCACCTAGCTTCCTTTGGAAGCACTTGATATCAGGTTCAATTCCTATTAGTCTCATTACTCGTGGTTAGTCCAACAACCTTCCCCCACCCATACCAAGGGACCATTTTTGTAATAAAATATATTTATGCAGCATTTCAATAAAAGAGATGATATAGCTTTGTTGACTACTAGACAATTCTTCTAGCTCATGTAGTTGAGGTAGGTGAAATTTAGATCGAGCAGAAGGATGGCATTTGCTGCTTATTCAAGTTGCACAAGTTCTTTTTGAACCTCTTCATTTTTTATGATATTTTTTAACTTTTTACCTAAGGTAGAAGGATTTTATTATCATCTCTAGAAGGTAAGAAATATTGGAATGGATCCTCTTATGTGAAAAAGTGATCACGCGGTTATGTTATTTGATCACAGCCACTCATTGATGATGAGATAAGAGAGAGAAAAGTGTATAATTTTTAATGAGTGGTTGTGATCAAATAACATGACCACATGATCACTTTTTCACATGAGAGGATTCATTCCCAAGAAATATGGAGAATACAATTATCAAAACTATTTTGGTTGCTGTTCTTCCGAATTCTCCAAAGAATTAATGCAGATAATTCCAAGTTCCGAGATAGATTGGACTACCATTCCAGCATGTTAGCATCTGCAAATTCAGTTTATGTTATTGTAATAGTTGACAATAACAACAAAGCCCAGGCTTCTACACATTATGTGAACATATGTAAGTGTAACTCAGATTGCACTTGGATATATTAATGAGCCAGATCGTCACGAGGGGCAAGAAAAATTTTAAACACTTCTCACTCAAACATCAATAAAAGAATCTGTTTCAGAGGGCAGCAAAAGTTTCCAAATCCTTGCCCTTAAAAGTGGTATTATGTTGGGTATAATAAGACATCCAAAGCAAATTTCAGTGAACTAACTGTATAATTACCTTTCCTTAATCCTCCCAGCAATAATTTGTCTTTACCTGGACTTATTAGGAGCTCTATAAGGGACTTCAAAAGTAGATTACTTCGATTCTTCTGTTTAGAACTTTATAGGAACATTTGACTTTTAGAAGAGATATATATGTTCATCTCACATAACTCTCTTTTCTATGTTTCTTCCGTACTTTCTTGTTCTTCTATCAACTGGCTTTTCTTCATCTTATATATATATATATATATATATATATATATATATATATATATATATATATATATATATATATATATACTTTTCTTTGTCAGGTTATATTAACGGATTTTAGCTCATACAAACCCTTTCCATCATAGTTGATGAGGGCTGACGACAAATACAATTTTCCAATGTGTTTATTTTTTAATATGTTGGATTCTATGAAATCCAAACATGTTGAAAAAGTATATATCAAATAAAGAGGCAAGAGCACAAAGAATATATCAAACGGACTCATTTTTTTTTTTAAACAAGAGAACAAAGAAATCAGCAGAAGCGATTTTCCATAATTTTTACAAATTCAATGAAATCAATTCTTCCATCTTGATTTTCATCAAAGTTCATGATCATCTTCTGGCAGTTCTCAAGTTCTTTTGCTTCCTTCAATCCCAAAATACACAGAACTCTCTGCAACTCCCTTGCATCAATAAACCCATCTTTGTTCTCATCAAAAACATCAAAAGCCTGCTTCACCTCCTCCAGGCTTGGCTCATGCTCCTCAAACAGTTCAGAAAGCTCCTTGGAACCATACGTTTCCTGAAGTTCCTCACTTTCTGAGCTGCAAAAAAATCCCAGTTTTTCCATCACCATTTTGACTTCATCCCTCTCAAGCTTCTCACTTTCTCTGCTGCCATTTGACTCATTCTCTTGGTGGCTAAACTCAGATTCTGCAACCTGCTCCTCCTCTCCACTTACCTTTGAATTACCAGAATGAAGTTTTTGCAAAAGGAAAAACAAGAAACCTGAGATAATCTCTCGGATTTTGTGAAAAAATGTAAGGTATATGACAAGGTCTACCAAGCCACACAAGGGAGAAGTTGAGTTGCCATCATTCTGTGATGTCTTCTTCTCTGCAATAAGATAGTCAAGGTGGCTAAGAACCATTTTTGCAGATATTCTCAAATATAGATGAAGAGTTAGAATTCTTTGATCCCTGTTGATAAGGCTCAAATATTGTTAAGTTTCTATTTACCCTATGAAGATGAGAAAGTTATATTATGGTTTGAAGGGTGGCTAGAGGGTTTGTTATATAATCTATAAGTTGGAACTTGGAACATTGAATCAGCCAGAATGGTCAGCTTTGAAAGGGGAAGGAAGGTGCCTTACAATTGCATTTAGAAAGAGTGGAAAGAAAGTGCTAGAATAGATATATAGAATAAAATGGTCATTTCTTGGCAACAACAAAGGAAACTTCCTGTTTCTAAATTCAAGCATATATGGAGTTTCTGTTTGGCTGCGGTGGTCATTTGAAAGAGAGAGGTTGCTTAGTCTTGGCCTGCTTTTTTTTATGTCTTTTCCTGGTTTGATTGATTCTTTAATGTATTTCCTTCAAGACTTTTATGGCAGGCTTAATGGTAGACTCAAAATGGAAACAAACAAATTGTTCAGTAGTTTCCTAGAAGTGTCCGAGTATTGGGTTTCCAAGCATTTAAAGAAAAATAATCACGTTGCCTGTCATGTTTCCCCCACTTATAATAATTATATCACATATTATATATTTACAATAGCGATATGCATGTTAATCTTATATCTTTTTTGGATACAAAAGTGAGAATTGAACCTATAATCTAATATAAATTATTCCAATTCCTTATTACTAGACCAATCCTAATGATTTCATATTAATCTTATATATATCGATGTTAAAATAAGAAGTTTTTCAGGGGTTCGTATAATTAAAAAATTACAGCTATTAAATATAAATGAAAACAATAATCAAGATAAAGAATGTAACAATCAGGATAAAACGTATAATTTATACTTACGTAAAATGATACTCACCCTTTGTAATATATAGTTTTTTTTAAGTGTGCATTATGAAACATCCACTTGGATTACTTTAGTCTAGCTTGTCGCATCAACTTGTATGTAGTTAGAGATGGCAAATTGGGCGGCCCGCCCCCGCCCCACCCTGTCATCAATTCGCTAAAAAATGAGTCAGCCCGCCCCGTCCCGCTTTTGAAAGTGGGCTGAAAAAACTCAGCCCGCCCCGTCCCGTTTGGCGGGTTGGCCCGCCAGCCCGAGCCTATTTTACACTGACCCGCCTCGGCCCGCCTATGCCCGCCATCAACCCGCCAAAAAATGAGCTCACCCCGCCCGCTCCGCTTTTGAGATGGGTTGATAAACTCAGCTCACCTCTTCCCGTTTGACGGATTGAGCGAGTTAGCCCGCCGAGCCGAACCCGTTTTACCAGCTCTATACGTAGTTATCAATTGAGCCCCTCAACATATTTAGAGAACTGTCAAGCTTCCATTGAGTAACTTTTGAGTAGTATCTTAACATCTATTAATTATTATGTCATTTTAATGTTAATATTCAATATTAATAGCTTTAAGAAGTTCTACATGTGTCTCTTGATCTTCTAGTACTATTTCATATATTCTTCGGGTTTTTTTACCCTTTTACTTCTGATTAAATTAAAAATTACTACTTTATCTCAATTCCAAAATTATACATCAATATGCTCCTGTTCAACCTTTGATTAGACTATGTAATCAATTAACTAATGTAATCAATTACATCAGTAAACGGAGTCATATGAATTTTTTATCACAAGATTTTTTGAATTAAACGAGTTTCTATGGTCATATACTCATAATATTGGACTTAAGGAGAGACTTTGTGGTATCACAAGACTTAATGTGGCACTATATTTGGGATATTTTACCGTAACACTTTAGAAGGTCATAATTTTGGCCTCGAGTGCTCGAATAAGGTATTTTTTTTATTCCACATAACTTTTCGAGATGAACTTGGTCAAGTTTCCCCCTCCCCCCCAAAAAAAAATGCATCCTTATGCCCTGTTTGGTATATTTTATCTCTGCGAATGATGTTATTTAATTCCTATTCTTATTTTCACTTTCCAACACTAAAAATACGTGTAGCTCTCAAAAAGTCATGTGAAATAAATAAAAAAATCTGATTCGGCCGGACCCTCGAGCCAAAAGTTATAACATTTCGAAGTTTTAGAGTAGATTTGAGTCATGTAATCAATTATATGACTCATGTAATCGATTACATTAACCAACCAACTATCAAATAGAGGCAGATTGTTGTTAAGTTTTAGTAAAAGGTCAAATTTTTAAATAGTATAAAAACGGGGGTATACTAATAATTTTTATTTTAAAAAGGGCAAAAGAGTAAAAAAAAAAAGTCTATACTCTGCTCATTCATTCATTGTTCTATAACTATTACAATTTTCTTATTTTTGTCTTATGTTCTTTCTCATTGTTCACACCGAGAATTAGATAGTTTCTTATATCTTTTATAATTGGTAACAAGTTTGGAAGATTAAAAATAGAGAGAAAGAATTGTTGTATTTAAATAATAATAATAATAATGTTATTATATTGTAGCCAAATTTGTAAACGCTCGCGCAATGCACGGGTCTATGCCTACTTGCCACGCCATTTTGATTGTGGAAATCCTATACGGAACTAGTTTAGTAGTTTATGACAAGATATTAATTCTATGAAATGGGAGCGTTAACTTTTAATTAAAGGTACGAACTTTAGGAGAAGCTGAAAGGAAAGGGGGAAGACCTTAAGACCATGTAACATTTTTACACTAGTTCCTTCCTCAATGGCTGAAAAGTCCATAACTCTTCATTTACTTAGAAACATAGGTAAACTCTGTCTACATTTGTCTGATTCCTTAAAGAATGCGTGGTCAATGTGAAACAGGAATAGCTGCTCAAATTCCATCGTTTCTTTTACGTTGGTAGTTGAAGCGTCTCATGTGGGAGATTGAAATGGGTGCAGTGAATTTGCAAGAAATTGATGTGAAATTCGGTGACGTATATACACCACTTTATTTTTTCCAACCCAAGTTTTGTTAGTTCATGCACAACTGTAGCAATGAGAAAGCCCACTAAATGTTTACTTCAGATGGTGTGAAATTCCACGTGGATGTTGCCTTAATCGGATCTTTCAAAAGTGTGAAATCCCCATTACCTTCGATTAGATAAGAACCTCAATCGGTAAAAGAATTTTTAAAGTGCTCGATTTTTCCAGAATATAAATTTTTTTATTACATTTCTATCTATATTATTTTTATTTATTTATTTTCATATCTTGATTTTTTTTCTATTTTTGGGAAAGGTGTACCTGCACCAAAAATACACTCCCTCGGTAATTGTCACAACAATCCTTGTTTGCAAGAGACATTAAGGGGATATATTGGATTGAGATTTTAAGGAATTTTAATGGAATATTTTTAGACAAAAAAATTCATTGATATTCAATTAGGATTTTAAAGGATTGAAAAAAAGTCATGTGGTATTCAATGAAGATTTTAAAAGATTATTTTAGAGTCATCCAAATTCGTTGGTATTCAATCATGATTTTAAATAAAGAAAAAATAATCTTGTGGTATTCAAAAATATGACGATTTTAATGTATTTTCTATTGGTGCGGATTTCGTAAGACTTTTTAGTGAAAAGTATAAATAGGATGTCTCTCTCACAATTTCACCATAAACACTAGAATTTCTTGAGATTTCTCTATTGCAGTATCTTCTTCTTCCTTTGATGGGTTGACCCGCTCGAAACCAGATTCTGTCATAGGAGCTTCGTCAAAGCTCAAAAACAATATATTTTTTTAGCAATGTTCATCACAAAACAACCCAGAAACAACAAACTAATAATATTCTAATATAACCCATCTCAAAAGCAGAAGATTTTTGAGAGCTTTTGAAAGTTTAAAAAAACATTTTTCAAGTTATAAGTTGCGATTTTTCTTGGCACAAAAATGTATGATTTTTGTATTAAAAACAACATAAAACAATAGAAAAACAACAAGGAAACTAAAAGCCTCAATCCAATTTTTGTTTTACATCAGTGAAACAATATCAATTCCAAAAAAGATTGAAACTTTCATAATATAAACACTATATTTCGTAACAATACATTCATGAATAAAATTCATTCGCTATAAGAAACGATTTCAAATAATTTTTGTGTCAATAGATAACTAAAAGCTTATTTTTTTAAAACCCCAAAGCAATTTAAGGTTTCAATGTATCAATTAAAAATAATTTGAAATTTTTTCTAAACTTTCATGTAATAAAACCTAGAAATTGTTTACCAAAAAAAAAAAAAACCCAGAAATTTAGATTCAAAATTTTCTTAGAATACTCAATGAAAATATGCATATGATATATGGTTAGAAAACTCTCATCACGTAGAAAAAAAAAACCCCAAGGTCTCCAAGATCAATAGCAAAAAATTTCAAACAAAATTTTATCATGAACTTTAGGTTCTATATGCAAATTTAGAATTATTTTAATAAATAAAAAATTGGGTCTTATAATCATATACACGTAGCTCTGATACCAAATGAAGAAGATAATTTTTAATCCATTAGTCAAACCTAAGAACAGGAACGAGAAAATGCTAATACATGGAGGACTGATATAGCTTAAGATATGTGGAGAACTGTCGCTTAGTAATTTTGAATGTTTGTTAAAAATTATATTATGTTTTACTGATTTAGAAAATTATATTAAGTTTTACTCTCTATTTTTGTTAAGCATATTAGGTTTTACTTTTTTTTATTAATATCATTGCATTTCTTTCTTATTTTTTTATTGACTCTTGTAATTTCAAATGTTTGTTAAAAGGAAGAAGTTATACTTACTACCTCTTTTTCTTACTACTTCTTACTATCAAATCTTAATCGTTGATTTCCGTCAATCTAACGGTTATAATTTATTGAAAATTAATAATTAATTAATAAGTATAACCCAATAAATTATAACTGTTAGATTGAAGAAAATCAATGGTTAAGATTTGGTAATAAGAAGTAGTAAGAAAAATAGGTAGTAATTATAAACTCTCCTTTGTTAAAAATACATAAAGTTTTTAAAATCTTATAAATCTATAGGTCCTTTCAAATATTATGAATTCTATTAAAATTCTTTTAAATCTAATCTTATGAAACCTTGATTGTAAAAATTAAAAAAGTCTTTTAAAAAAGCCTTCTCTCCAATTCTAAGTAGTCTTTCAAAATCTATAAAAAAAATTATCTCAAAAAAATCTTTGAAAATCTTAATTCAATACAACCCCCTAAAATTCATTGGATACAGGTTTAAATCAATGCATCAAAATAAATATCTAAATTTTTAAATATTATTCTAAATTAATTATCAATCATATTCATTAAGCATGACTTTTTTTTGTTTTTAAAACCGAACAAACTTGATTTTGAAGCTTATAA